AAAATCAACTTCAAGAGATCTACATGTCGTTTTTGTCAAATATTGTATGTAACGGTAACTAATATAATAAATGTATAAGTAAATTCCGTTATTCCATATGAGGGTAAAACATGGTCATCAAGAGTAGAGGATATTCGTAGATTACCAGTATTTGATCATAAGTGTCTTAGAAGTATTGCTCTTGTGTTTTGGGACCAGTGAGTAGGGAATCACGAGGTGAGGGTTATGGTACTAGGTAAATAAGTCAGATCTATTGATGATGTGGTGAATCTTAGTCAACTGACGTGGTTGGATCATGTATTACGTATAACCAACCACTGTTTACCACAGCGGGCGATGTTGTCTGGTGTAGGAGTTGGCTGAAAGAATGTTAGTGATTGCCAAACAACGTTATGGGATCAGTCAATGATGTCATTGATAATTGGATGTAGCCACAATAATAGGTGTAGACTATCTGGTAGGTCTTATGATTATTGTGACCAATGATAAGTGACTTTGAATGACATGGCTCAATAATTGTATGCCATAGCATCCATTTTTTGTCTTCTCTCGAATTCTGAGGATCTCACAATAAATACGATCAGAGGTTGGAGACGTTGAATGATATAGTTCAAAATCTGTCACAATAACACGAATACGTTCACTATTTTTATTTCATTGGGTTTTGAGTTTGAATGTTATCTTTTATTCCTTGCATTCATTCAATCTCCTCGAAACAGATTGTCTATACTTAATATTTTCTACTGTTGATATTATTACTGCTTCTACTACTGTAATAATATATCTTGGTAATTTCAACTCATCATGCTAATTTATTGTGAAAACTTGAACTGATACACAAATAAACCTGATTCTACGTTGCTTCAATTAACTGATGAGGTGTAAACATCTTCACACTTGGTAACTGAGTTACAATGAATCGTCACAGAGCTTCGAACCATAGAACTATCAAAGTCTACACAAAATGATTGTTCTTTAATTTTGTGTGTATAATTTATGCTTGATATGTTAACACATTAATTTTTTGGCGTAATAACTCTATCATTATTTTTGGAATTGTTATATTCTTCGTTCACCACAATTATCTACTACGTCGGGCTCACCAAATAATTGTGGTGAACGAAGAATATAACAATTCCAAAAATAATGATAAAGTCATTACACCTAAAAATTAATGTGTTAACATATCAAGCATAAATTATACACACAAGGAAATTATACAGGACGTTACTTAAACTGTCAGGAATTGGCGTGTTCGAGTTTCTTTAGGTCTAGTAATCCACAATTATAAGTAGTTAATAATTACAATCACAATTGTTATAGTCCGTCCAAGGTGTATATCCAGATAAAGCATATAATGAGAATATCACTGTGATCTGTAAACATAGATAGCAAATATATTAGGGTTCTGTTATCATAACAGGAGATAATTGAGAACAAGAAGCATATATGTACAGCAGTGTATTTGTGAGTGATAATGAGTGTCATCCTATGGGGAATTCAAAATGCAAACGGAAAACCCAATGTCATGTGTTTTTAAACAACTATTTTGCAGTCAATCATAGTAATTGTACCAATTATGAGAAGTAATGAAATAAATGCGAATAGTAGCAAAAGCTAGTTACGAAATAAGTCTCTTCTAACTATCTCCACAAATAACTCAGGGGTTTCATTCAAAGTTATGTGTCCCTACATCATCATATTGATAGAGAAGATTTACAAAAGAAGCAAAGATTGATGATGATTGGCAGCGGAATCCAGGACGCGTGTTGCATCCTACTTAGGACTCGTCAGTTGGGTGTACCTGGAGTTGATGTTCACTTCAGTGGGAAATAGTCGTAATGACTCATTTTCTCAATTAAAGAATAAAGTGTACGAAATTGTAATCACTTAAAAATAAAAAAATAAGACAACAAATAACCCTTTTTGAACGTACAAACTCGTATATTCGGTTTCAAAGCATACTTTAAGTGTGATTTCTAGCGATATTATCTTGCTAATCATACTAAATTTGTTTAATAGAGCTGGGTTTTGAACCTGCTACTTTGTGGTTGAAAGTTGAATGTCTTGATCGTTAATTAACAATTCCATTTGGTGAATCAATACGATTGTTCTTGATTGCGAGCGATGTCACTTATTTAATACGACTTTTTTTATGTAAATCCACGTAAATAAAAAAATGTACAATCTTCCTGATCCCATAATCTAATCAATCACTTCTAGCCACTTACCAAGCTTCTTAAGTTTATGTCTTCTTATTTCTATCACTATTCGAATGATATTTCTGGTCTTCCATATTGTGCTGGCATTTCATGTACTTATATGTGTTGTTATTCTGGTTGTCAAAAGGCTTCTGAATAAAAACGGCTTTCACAATGAAGTGTCATAACTCTTCAGTATGAAGATACTTCAACTCCCGGGGCAAAGTTTAAGTAGTTCACATATCTAAAACTGAACGATCGACTTAAGCGCCCAAATGATTTGATTATCGAAAACTACTCACTGACTAGAGGATTAGATTTCTATGTAATCAAACAATGTACTTCTTGTACAAAATTTTAAGCATAAAAATACACACAATAAAATATCGTAGACGATTGAAAAGGAAATTGGTTCTGTACATCACTTACTGTCTAATCATTTAAGACAGTTGTTAATCCTAGTCCTTTTGAACATTTGTATCGATAACTCTACACAATACACTTTCAAAATTATCTTAAGGTATATGTCATTTCCTAATTATTGAATTCCATCCCATTGTCTGTTTCTGTATATATACAGAGAGAGAGATTCAGACAAGTTATTCTAACTGTAAACAATTTGCTATAAACATTGACATATTCTTGAATTAAATGTATCAATAACAATATCTTATGTAGTTGTCGTTGTTGTGCAATTTACACAAGGGATATAATTTGTTTAGCTGCATACCATGTGTCTCCATTTCGTTTAATATTCCTAGTGAAAATGCAAAATCTTACAAGGGATTTTTAATCTTATTCTAAAAGAATTTTACCCACATGTTTTGATGCCAATTTACTCTATCTGTTGTAGTTCAAGATGTATATCTATCTTCTATCTGTTGATCAGTTGAAAACTAATGTTATATGACTAACTAATCTGTTATTATTTATGGAATAGTGAAACATAACCGTTCAATTATTATTTATAAGGGTGTTTAAATTATCCCGTTGTTAGTATTTAGAACGGAATTTTGACCAGCAGTTGTTGGTATATGTGTATCGTATATAAATTACCGAGATAATAGCCATTTTAATCATGCCTTTTAGGATGAAATATGCATTTTTGATTCCATTGTTAACTACATTCAATCTACTCTATCAAACATTTGAGACAATGGGTATTTCGAGAAAAAACCCCACAAGATGAAATACAAGTGAACAAAGGCTTATCAAAATTCAGTTTTAATTACGAACAACGAGATAACTCAAACTCATACTAGTTATTGTCTATATGGATATATTAGTTAGAAGTGTATAACACTTTGACTTTTGTAATGGGATATACTGTGTTCGAGTCTCATAGTGGGCATCAACAACAGGATACATATATATATACACCTTATGCATCCCAAACAAAAAAAAGCACACGTACCAGCTTTCACTGCTAACTTGATGCTGTGGATAACACACATTGTTTGTTAGTACTTGATTATTTTCTATGTATCAAACACTTGTACAATGACTAATTCGGATTTTTAGTCCACAAATCTGATATCACTTCTTAAAGTTCTTGATTACAAAGCCGAGCTTTCTGTGGGAGTAAACGAATTGTACTCTACCATAACAAGGAAACCATAACAGAAAAATGGTTCAGAGTCGTTTTTTGGCAGTAAACGAAGCTCGGATACATTCATTGTTAATCTTCCGATAAATCTTCACTTCGTTTCATCCAAAATTCTATTTCCTAATCCGATACGTCGTTTCCTATTCCCACCTTTTCATTATATTCCTCTTTTAGTCTTGCTGCTTAGTGTAAGATAAAATTAGCAAGTGCAATATTTTCCTATGGTTCTTGTGCCTACCTGTTTAGCTTATTAAAACACAACTACTTTCAAAGTCTTACACTATTCGTTCCATAGTGTTATTTTCCATGATTATTTCAGTGAAAACGAATATTATTATTATCATTCAACATGTATATGCAAGCTCATCATTGATCACTCGGTAGTGGACCAATGTCTTGTTTGTTTTGTCTTTTTAGTGCTGATCGAATTCTATCGACAGAGTTGCCACTTGTCTCTATGACTCGGCATCACGTGCACTATAATATAGTGTTAGATAATTGGAGGTAGTCGCCAGGAAACACTAGACTTAGGTTTCATGCTATTACAGTATCGTCACCAAGACAAACGTTTTAAGATATACCTTGCTGACCGACGATAGGTTCATACACCACCCATTTCCCTAGGATCGTGCGACTCATATAGCCAATTGGTTTGAAGTTGTTGTTTTGCAACTTCCGTAGTTGAACCCTCCGTACCCGCAAACCCGCTTAAAGATCCGAATACTCGCTTTTGGTCCTCTCAATTTCGTAAACAACACACCATCTACGAAAATGCAGTGAGTAAGAATTCTCTGATAGAGTGGCTGTATACGCGTGGCCATGTGAGAACAATTTGAAAGAGGGAGCAGACTCTCCTCACTCTCGGCCCTACCAAAGATTGATCACATTATGAGACATTTCTTGAATACCCTTGAAACTTTACTATGAATTATTTTTAAACATGGATTTCAATATAACCAAGGTAATTATGATTATAGTGTGGGAAGTCAGTACATTCTTTTCACTCATATTTTATGCTTTAAATTTGTGTGTCAATCATTTAAGATAAATTCAGCCATTAAGAAAAAAATCTTAATATTCAGTAGTTCTACAATTTTTTGAAATCAATCTTATTGTGCATTCTGCACAATCATTGATTGAATATAATATTTAGAATTTATGTGTAATATTAGTTACCTTTTTTGTTATTGTAGTTGGCTACAAAATTTCCAATCAGAATTAAATCGTCTCGATGCAATTATTCAACGTTGTCTTCGTCGTATGTGTCGTGTCACTACAACTGGTACATTAATATCTCAATTAAATGAAGCTGGTCCCACCTATGCTCGGTAAGTAGTGGTGTGACTTAATGTGTACTGGAAATATTTATTCATAAAATTTTCTCTATAAGCAAACTTTTGGAAATGTATGAGATTACTCGATACTTGGTTGTTCCCATGTTTAAGTGTTTGTGATAGTGTACTGTCCACCTCAGTACTTCTGAGTTGTAATCGAATCCTTGATCTATAAAACTTGGTCATCAGTATGATAGCACTCAATCACTGATTAATTACTGGTTCGTTGGTTTTTTTTCTATCTCAGTACGATTTATACCTACTATAATCGCTATCTAATGTAGCTTGTGCACATAAACACTCTGTAATTGATATAATTGCTCACATCTTTCTCCTTGTATATCTTCTGGTAGAATGAGCCGTTAATACATTAGAATCCAGGCTTATATGCTCTACAATGCCTTGCGTAGCAAATATACACTGACGTACAGGATGTTAGAGCTGACATATTCAGTAAATTGTATTCTTAACTTATTCCTGTTACCCCTATTGGAGCATAGGCCGCTGACCAGCATTCTCCAACCCACTCTGTTCTGGACCTTCTTTTCTAGTTCTATCCAATTGTTGTTCATCCTTCTCATATTTGTCTACATTTCTCGGCGTAATGTGTTCTATGTTCTTCCTCTTTTCCTTTGACCTTGAGGATTCCAAATGAGATCTTGCCTTGTAGTGCAGTTTGATAATTTGTGCAATGTATGTCCTATCCACGTTCATTGTCTTTTCCTAATTTCCTCTTCATTTAGAAACTGATTTGTTCTCTCTCATGGTAATAATAATAATAATAATAATAATAATAATAATAATAATAATAATAATAATAATAATTTATATTCTGAAAATAATAATTACAGCATTCACGTCGGTTTACAGGCATGATCAATTTGATATAAATAGTAACATTAGATGTGCACAACAAACATGTGATAGAAGAAAGTTTTAAGTATACTAGTTCAGTAATTGTTTAGGTAGTACATGCATTACAGCGATCCAATGCATCAGCCGGGAATTTTTAATTTTTCTTAAATGGACAGTCCGTTGATTTATCGACGGAGTAATTAAGGTCACTTCGTGTACCCAATCGAAATAATGATAATTATCTACAACTAGAGAAATTAAAACGAAAACAGAGAGCACGGAACAACAAAGCAGTAATTACGAGAATATGTCAATCAGGTCTACCAAAATGCATGTGTCATGTGACAGTGATATACTGCTGATGTTATTAAAATTAGTTAAACTTTCTGGGGACGGTGTTAGCATAAAGTGACAGCAATTAAGTGGTTTTACTTAGGAAATGCACTAATAAAAATGGCTAAACATTTAAAGTTCCTAGAATATCCTTTGTGGAATGAGATACACTTATAGGTGCTAGAACATTCAATGCATTTTCAGGGGAGCAGTATGTATCGATGCAGCGAATAAATAATGGGAGTGATTTTATCGTACGGATAGATTTTGATAGGTTATTCCAGAGTCTAGAAAATTTATAGGTGAAGTAATTCATATAAAGAGATGATTTAGAATGAGTTTGTTTCACTAGTGCCAAGGAATTACGGATGTCATAATGAGAAGTTTCTACATATTGAATCACGTGATTGGATGTAAACGATAGTTTATGAAGTAGTTTGAAGGAAAAGATAAGATTTAGTTTGAGTCTTCTCCTCCATAAAGGGACTATCCGAAGTTTATTACATCTAGAATTATAAGTTAAGGTACAATCAGCTCCAAGAATACGAAGTGTAAATCGTCTCTGTACTGATTCCAGCCTTAATTTATCCTTTATGCACACACTGCTAAGAATAAACGTGCAATATTCTAGAAGATGTCGAGCACAAACTTTGTACATTAAAATACGTGACTCATTGTTGTAAAGGTTTCGAGTTATGTAACCTATTAAACGTTGAGACTTAGAGGTCTGTTTTAATATCTTTTCTGTAATCGACAAGTCTTGGGAGTATTTAAGTCCTAAGTCTACTACTGTATGTAGGTAGGTAAGTTTTGTTGATGGTATCTGGTCAACGGACATTGAGTATCTTTTGTAGACAATTGTTCATAAATACTTGTACGTCTCTGATGATACTCGTAGTAGTTCTTGAGGTTTCAGCTCCATTCAATTGAACTGTCTTGACGTTCATATTGAAAATTGTGACTTTGATATTAATATTAGTTGGTTGGTAGTTGTTTTGATTTCCATATATTCTTCAACTGTAGGAATATCCCATATTATTTGACAAATGTGACAATATAAAAAGTATCTGTTTTTGTGTACAAAAAATTATTTGTGTTAACTTCTCTTTTTTTTCCTTGTATGACCTAGTTTAATATGTTTGTGTGTGTGTATATATGTATGTGCAATTTTTTCTCCAAGTTTCACTTTACATAGCTGATTTTCTACTGTTATGATTCACGTTATAAATAAATCATCATTTGTGCTGTATGCTTTATTTGTCTGTTTTTTTTGTCTTTTTAAAGAAAAAAAACAATAAATCTATGTTACTGTTAATGAAAATTCTTTCGAAGTACACATGATATGTAGGATATACTGTATATATGTGAATGCATGTTAACAGATTGATCATATGACTGAAATTCTCTTTTTGTGTGGTCATTAATCATAACTATTTAGTTTATTCTATTAAAGTGTATTGTAGTATATATTTTACACGATGTATTGTATATTGGTTGAATAAATGACAATGTATTTGTCGTGAAACAACATCCCACGATCGTTGTTGCTACCTTGACGTGGTGGTCGGGCTTGCCTATCGTGATGAAGCAACCGAGCTATACTGGCTGGAACAACCGTTCCTCAAGGTCCTACCATGTTAGACAGGTCGGTTGAAGAGCTGTAAGACTAAAAGCAACAAACCTAAGGTCCGAAGACGAAGTCGTACTGCTGACTGTACAGAGGTGTGACAGCAGTAAGGTGTTTCCTTCAGACAACCAGCATGGCAGCGACACTGCCTTCCCACAAGGAGGGGTGGAGTTAGGAAAGGTTGACCCTAAAAATGCACACCTCGCCTTATCCCACGGATATCCGTCTCTGGCATTATGGTCTCAAGAAGTACGGAGCTAACACAAAAATTACTCATAAAAAGGTGGTGTGTGACCGACCTGAAGCAATTGTCCCTTGGTCACTGCGGTCATACTCTCAGGTCACTAAGACCACCTCTAATCCAATTTCCTTTTCAGGTACCTCCAGAAGAACCCTTCTACGGTGTGGGCAACCGGAAGGTGGTAAACGCCCTCATACCTCTAACAGCACTCAAGACCATTGAAACAACATCCATACAAGTATCCTATATAAAATAATATAGTTGATTTCAATTAGAAAAAAAATTACTCCATAAAGGATTGAGTACTTACAAAGAGATACTTAACGGCTAGAGCCCCTTGCATATATGGATAAAGCTCAAATAGTGGTAATAGATGAGATGGAATACAATTAATTGTACTATGGCAACTAATTAAGTGGACCTGATTTCTTTATATCATTTTAATCCATTTAATTATCTAAACAACAACCGTTACTTTTAACTGATCTAGTCAGTTGGTTTATTTGAATCTATGATGAACAATGAATTTCGTCAAGAGAATCACCCAAGCGTTCATAATTTTTTTATTTTTAAAAACTTGATTTTATACATATTGTAACATAGTTAACTCATATCATTTATAAATATTGTCCGTATTCAACAAAATATTAACCGATCACAAGTGATATTATGGTCAATGAAATTATTTTGCTCTCACCTCAGATCCACTGACACACATATACAATTTGTTATCTTGATATACCACATGTCTTGTAAGCACTACAGAAAATTCTTACTTTCAACCTTGTTAGATGTCCTATTTAGTATACAGTTAACTGGAGAACTATTTACCTACTTATATTCGATAATTTTGATGTTTAATTATATTTCCTTGAAAAACCTTCAACCAGATTACCGAGTGAAACGTTGGATTTATTTAAAATTCAATAGCTGAGATTTTTACAAAAATATAATTTCTCCTCCTTAATATCTTTTATGGGATCAGATATTTTGGTCTGTGAACGGGCACTAAAAATGAAGTTTGTGTACTCTGTTCATTGACTTTCCCACTAATATATTTGTAAAGAAAAGTAACATCACAGTTATAACATTTCAGTTATTGATGGAATTTGTAGTTAGGTAATCGTTCAATTGTAGTTATGAGTAAGGTATCATTCAATCTTCGAGCCGTAAATTCTGTTTAATGTTCAAACTAGTGAACAAATTATTCAAACTCGGCTTTATTTCTCGACATTATGCATGTATTTAGTCTGTAGTTTACAAACGTGTATATGTAGGTGTTACATGACTTTTCGCTCTTCATTATACAATTGAATAGGTTGCACTATTTCTTCTCAGATTTTTATCAGTTGATTACGCCTTTATGTCTTTTTTTAGACAGAAACGATACGTTAGTGTTCGAAGCACACGACTTACAAACACTAGGTCAAAAGTTCAAATAGCACTCCACTTGCTTTTGGGTTTAGACAGCCTATCGGTATCATTAATCCTCACATAAATAATGTAACTCGAAGCCAAGTTCGTAAAATCGTATTTGGTAGGTGTACGGAATTGCTTTTAGATAAGTTAAACCCATTACTATCATGTAAGATAGTTGCTAAATATTTGTCTGTGGATATAACGAATCTAAACGTTAGTATACTTAGGCTTTAACATTTGAATTTATGGACTGTATCTAAATCTGTTGTAACGACTACTTACTCTAAGAATGTATTGATTGGGTAATAATTATTTAATGGATTAAATATCTAAATAAATTTACTGCTAATTAGTCTCTTAAAAAGTTTATGCTGATCTTAAAAAGTCAACTACTATAAGCTCTAAATTGCCTACAAATCTTGTGTTTTTTTTTTAGTATTAGATGAGATGTACAACAGTGGAATGTAAAAAATCCTCTCGTACAACTGTAAAAACTGCTGAGAGAATTCGATTTATTTTAATAATGCACCTATTTAATTGATTTTATGTTTATTTGTTAAGTTTACTTCTGATTTCCTCCTCTTTTGTCTTTTTTCTTCTCTTAATTATCAATAGCTGTTTAGCTGAAATTGTTAGGCGTACGGAATTCGACGATATGCTTACTCAACGATCTGTATGTTATCTTAAAGAGGAAACTAATTTAAGAACTGAAGAATGTCGTCGACGGCGTATATTTTCTAAACATTTAAGTATGTTTTTTAAATGTCAACATATTATTAATACTATATTCTAGTACTTTGAATCATCCATTGATCTGTGAGCACATTGATCCCTAACTTGATTATCCCTGTCATATTTACATTTTCTACCATATGTATCAAATAGATTTTTTATGCAATACCCAATTTTAGCTGCTACTTGTTTATGACTTATCAAATATCACGTGACAAGGTTGCCAATCTGAATACTGACTTCTATGGTCTTGTGCCTGTGTTCAACCAATGATGCGTCAAAACAGCACTAACAGCCTTAAGTGAACTCATGGTCCTCATTGGTTTTCTGTGAATGAATTATCAAAGTATTTCAGTGCTAAAAGTAACAATTTCTTTTGGAGATCTAGTTCTATTAACATTGGTCTGATCATAAGGTTGGTGTTAGCGGGATATAGACTGGATTAAAGTATGCTCAATGAACGATTGCTTTGGCGCAATCAGCGTTAACCAATACTTAGTGACCACTCTAGAAATCTCCTCATGTGAAAAAACTATAAATATACTAACGTTTTCCCTATTGCGCTACTTACTTGCTTCTTACTTCCATGTAACCTTGTTATTTGGAATATAATCTCTTTCCTGTTCAACCGTATTCTGATTTAGGGGCTTGTCGAGTAGATCGGTGTCCGAGAATAATAAGCAATAGGAATAGCTGGGTTATAACCGTAAGAGAGAATTATAACAGTTGGATTTTAAGCGCTACTCGTGATTGTATAACGCAGTAATGGATTCGAATGCTCTTTTTCCAGTCAAATTTATTTTTGTTTCCTAGATCTAATGGTAGTATTTTGTTGGATATTGATCAAGGTATATGTCTAAACCTTTAAATTAGCTTATCATTTAGTTAAAAAATCTTAACATTTTTGATGCCACTCATCAAACAATTGTACTCATTTAATAATAATTTGAAAAACTTAGATCATATGTAACTTACCCCAGACTCCATATACTGAGACGTGTATTGTTAGCTGATGTGAGAGATCGGAAGAAGACTATCCATTGCTAAGGCCAGTTATGGCACCAGTTCATAAAGTCATTTGACTATTAGTCTCAACCATCTTAATATATTCAGACTACTTGGCTAGTGTTTGCGCTATAATCGTGATCAATGATTTGATGAGACTATGAGTGACACGACTCAGAATCTCGGTCGTAATAGCGTTCTACATTCACTCTTCGTCTACCGCTGAGACAAAATATTTTTTTCCACCTTTTCACTCTTTTCTCTCAAATTATGTATCCTATTTTAATATCACTTCAATTTTTCCTATAACCATCATGATTTCATGTGATATAATAACTTAAACTAATACACATTAATGCCATGTTGTGACGTTTTTATCTGATTTAGTCATTAAGTTATATGCATTGTAGACTCCGAATACTTATTCAAACATATTAACATTGATACTTGTGGGCATGCATCAGAAATATGTACATGGTGGTTTTCTTAAGGAGCCACTCCCTGAGTATTTCACCTAGAAGTCTAATCGACAATTCAGTGGAGCAATGTTGGGAGATGTAGTCTGATGGTAGTCGGTGACCAACAATAGGTTCGTACACCATTCTTTTTTCAAGATCGTGGATTCCATGTTCACAATTGGTTTGGAATTGTGGTTTGGTAACTCCCCTAGTTGGATCCTTCGGGCATTCGCTTTTGGTCCTCTCAATTTAATAAATAACATCCCATTCACGAAAACGTAGTGAGTATGACTTCCCTGATAGAGTGGCTGTATATTCGTTATTATGTGAGAGGGAGATCAGACTCTACCCACTCTCAGCCGTACTAGGCCATTTTGAGGTACATGTACTAATAGTCTTAATTGTAAGAAGAAAATTAGGCATCGAATTTACAATTCGTGAAAAAAATATAAACTTGTGAAATGAAAAGAGATTATGATGAATTTAGAAACTTGCGTTTTTATGAAAGGTAAAAAGTGAATGGCACATGCATCATTGCGAATGATTTGGATCTATGTCATTCAAAGTCTCTGACCACTAGTTACGATAATCTCGTAAACCACAACCAATCAGTTTACGCCTACCTACACGGTTCATTCCCATGGTCACTTTTTTCATGGATTCGTATCATGTCTCGGTTTGTGCGTCATTCGCCTTCTACCAAAATGCTCCTCCATAAGCTATCGTCTCTTGTCGAGTTATGATTAATTGGTTTTTGAACATTATTAAAGTACCTAATAACAAATCGAATTTCATTTTAAAGCATAATTTTTTTCCTTTATCCCTAGAAAATAACGTTCTACATTCACTCTTTTCACCATGGACTAATTCAAAAGCGGAATGTCTCGGGGTAAATGATCACTTGCTTTATTGTTTAATTCGTTTCTCCGGTATATTGCGGTTTTCATGTATTGTTATGTTTTAACTGTGAATCGAACTTTGTTTGTTTAAGTGTTTATGTGTTTATGTATATGTTTGAAAGCTCTCAATTTTATTTACTCGACTAAAGTGAAGTACACATCATATCTCAAAGTTCACATCTGATCTGATCAGTAGTATTGTTCATAAATCATAGAATTTTTAGCAAATACATTGTTAATCAATACATTTTATGAATTCATGCAGTACTGTTGTTTTGCCTTGATAAAATTGACTTTAGAATGTTCAAAGTTGGTAATGGAATTAACACTTCAAAATATACGTTATGTTAGCTTACAAAAGAGATATATTTGTATGTTCATTTGATATATTTATTATATGCTTGATTTAGTGACTGTTCTTAAATTCGATAATGAAGTTACTATTCGTTACTTTTGACATTCAAATTCTTATCTACTTGTTGTAATCAGTTGTTATACAATAGCTATTTGATTACCGTTACCTTAATGGTCTGATTTTTTATAGATTGTTTTAAAATGTAGAAAGTATTGATCATGGATCTCTTTCACTTGAGGTACTGTTAGTCAACACACTAAGAACTTCAAAATGAATAACATTTGGTGGTTGTCACTCAGTGTCACATATTGATTAGAGTTGAGTTTGTTCACCTGGACGCGAATGGTGAAGCTCCTTTTTTGCCTAACTAGAAGGTTATGAATTTGATTCTTAGTAGTGTTATGCAATGCACATTGCTATGGAGTCCCATATTTCTAGTTCCCCCTGATTTTCAGCTATACTTTAACTGAGACCAACTCGTGATGAATACCGTCTGCAGAATAATATAATTTGTCTTTTTAGATCCACATAATCGATTCTTGTCTATTTTGATGTTTATCACGTAACTTCACTTTATCTATTATTTTTATCATTATCTGTTCATGTGTATAGCTTACCAATATACCAGGAACAATTTCTATGTCACAAGATGTAGTTGAACAGCAAATGTGTGAAACATCTACTACCACCACCATTACTACTACTACTACTACTACTACTACCACTATGACTACTACTACATCTAATCAAAAAGTCGATTCACTTTCACATAGTCCTCAAACAAATGCAGCAGAATTCACAGTGAATCGACGATATGCCTTATCTTCTTTATCTGAACCACGTTTAAATGAATTAGCCAAAGCTTGTGCATTGAATCGTGTACAACATTCGCGTGTTCGTTCAACTCGATTAAATTCACTCAGTTCACCAGATCCTCAGTTGACTAAAGTTAAAGAAGATGAAGTGATTGAATCGGATCAAAGTAAAAAACGTTCAAATTACAATTGTCCTATACAACACCAACCAGTTCTGTTACGTCCACCACATACTAAAGTAATGCTTGATGCTAATCGTCGTGCTTCAATGCCATTTGATGAATCTGATCGAGGTGAATTATCCAGTCTATCAAATTGGTCAGTTGATTCGTCATTATTAGGTATATTATCGAACAATTTCTATCAAACTGATCATCATAATCTATCGAATATAACACAATCAGTTAAAATTACTCGTGATGATTTAGAAAGGTTAATGCAATCTATGCCTACTAATATATCTAATTTATTAAGGATGGAATTGAATAAATCGTTTTCACTATTTAAAAATACTTCTTTTCTACCTAATTCATCATTGACCAATCCGAGTGGGAGTGTTTCTTTAGATCAAACATCCAATATTGCTAACAGTACCGGTTTTATCTGTAGTAATAGTAGTAGTCTATTATCAAATTTAAAATCAACTATCATGACGCCAACAACAACTGCCAAAACATCCATATCTACAATGATAACTAGTACACAAATGAATATACCTGAAACAAAATCTATTACAACCTCTCCATTTAGCAGTTTAGAGAATATATCAACAAGAGATTTTATGAATGTTGGTTGTCAAGCTGAATTCGGTTTAATTGGACCAATTCTAAATGTTGGATCTGGTCGAAGCTTGAATTCTAGCCTTGGATTATCTGTTGATGAGTAAGCGTTTTACCTTATTTTGTTTTGTTATTCAGACTCATCTGAATTTTACCAACTAATTTATTATGTATACATAACTTTTATTATTATTATTGTTATTATTATTATTATTATTATTATTATTATTATTATTATTATTATTAAATAAACTACCCTTTTCAAAGATACAGTAAACAGTCCTTTCTTTATAAGCGAAGATGGATGGTGGCCAGCAGTGGAATCTAGAACACGCGTTTCGTCCTATTTGGGACTGCTCTGTTCAATGCTTATAATGCTTGTGACCTAAGGCGATATCGAGGCAATCCGCATGGGATGCACATATGCCAATAAGAGACTGATCAATTGCATTCCTAAATATCAATGGAAAGAATCAAACAAACAATACAAAAAAAGAATTTAGTCCTTTCTCTATGCAATGAAAACTTCTTCAAAAGTATAAACGTTAACTAAATTACACAATATTGATTTATCTGTCGACCAATATCACAATTAGATAGATATAATAAGATAATTCATAATTGTCATTTCTCCTTTGTTTTATCTGGGGTTTTTTTGATAAGGGCAATTGATTCAATGAAACAAAAGAACATATTCTTTCATTGGTTCAATCATTTATAAAACAACGTAGAGATGAGTATATATTTGTATTCATTCATGTTCCCATACCACATCAGTGGAATACTGCGACGAAATTAACAAGATGAATAATAAAGAAATCAAAATAATAATAATGATTACTAATGTTTATATTCAATATTATACTTTTAGTAAAATATAGTATTCTCAGCATAAAGTATTTCAACAAGCTTCCTTTTTTTATTTCTTGATCGATCCTGACGATAGATATTAAGCGATCACCAGTTAGATGTAAGCAGTTAAGGAATCAACGTCTGAATAATGTTCATTCTTTCCAATGCATATTGCCAGCCATCGCGACGTCTCTGATTGTACTGTTTTTGTAATGGTGGAGAAGATTTGTAGCTCAGGTGGATGATTTGGGTGAAGTTTTGTTCTCTGAGCTGGATGGTTTGGTCGTGCAGCTTTCATCGTTGTTGTGAACGACGTAGTGTTTGTCGCAGTTGGTACAATTTATTTTGTAAATGATGTTTGATTTGTTCTCCTTTGTTATTTCATCCTTTGGTTTGCATCAGTCAGTCAGTCAGTTAGTCAGTCAGTCAGTCAGTAACAACTTGGAACTTCGTACGTACGTACATCAGTTCGAGTTGCCATACCACATTAGCACGGAGATGCAGTGGTCGATTGAAACCCCGTAGTGCTAGATGTAGTAAAATTATAAGCTGTAATCAGAAATATTAGGGTTTGAAGATGTTATTCAAAGAGTATAATACAGTGAAATAAATTTGGAAAGAGAGAGAAAAGAGACATGAAGAATCCAGAAGATTAGAATTCGGGAGAACAGAAAGAGTGGATGCACTTGCGCCATTGCAAACGATTTTGAGCCATGTTATTCAAGGTCTCTAATCATCGGTTGTTATCATCTCGCGGACCCCAACCAGGTAGTCTATACTTACTAACATGGCTCAGTCCACTTGTCAGTGACTTCATGGATTTGAGTCATGTTTTAGTCTGGCAGTCCCTAGCTTTCTTCCAACCTACTCCTACATCATAAAACATCGCACGTCGAGGCAGTCGGTGGTTAGGTATACGTAACAAATACCTTACCTGTCTCTTACTATCAACTTGGTTGACTTTACACCTTAAAACTTCTGGCACACAAATAATGTCTAAAATTCCATCTTGAAACTAATCACCTTACTTACTTACGCCTGTTACCCCTTGTAGCTCTCACTCGACCAGTTGTGTTCGAGTAGAGAGCCTTTATAAGGTTAATGTACTTGTTTGGTACTCCTTTCAGTGACAAACACTGCCACAGAACCTCACGATCAACAAAGTCGAATGCCGCCTTGAGGTCGAGAAATACTACCGTTGTGGGGCATCTGAATGTTTGTCTGTGTTCTAGAACCTGACGTAGTGTGAATATCTGATCTATACAACCACGTCCAGATCGAAAGCCAGCCTAGTTTTCTCTAGTCTGTTCTTCACGAGCTTTGATTAGGCGTCGAAGTATTATTGAAGCGAATATTTTAGATACTATATTTGTCAAACTGATTCCTCTGTGATTGTCACAAGAGGACTTTAGTCCTTTCTTATAGACTGGCACGATCAGTGATTGAGACCAGTCAGATGGGATTACGTCCAGTTCCCAAATCCTACCTAAGACCTCAGTTAATCTCACTGCTAATACTGGACCACCATCCTTAAAAATCTCAGGAGTAAACCTGTCAGGGCCTGCTGCTCTCCCTCGCTTCAGATTTCCTATGGCTTTTTCAACTTCGTAAAGGGACGGAGGACCTACACTAACTTGCCATTCAGGTTGACTGGAGATCGTGAGAAACCGAAGTGTGGCTGAAGGCCAGTTGAAATGATCCCTTAAGTGTTCTGCCCATCGATCCAATCTCCTGGATTGAGAATGTATGATATGTCCATCTTTCTCTGAGAGTGTTTCGCTAACAGTCGGTTTCCTAATACCGGTTTCCTTAACAAGCCTAAACAATTGTCTGCTGTTACCTATTGCCGCTGCCTTTTCCATCTCTCTTGCTTTCGCTACCCACCACTGTTCACGATCATTGCGTAGACTTCTTGTCAGCTTATGCTTAAGCTGACTCCGCTCTTCATTATGTTCAGAGCCAGGTGGAATGAGTTTCCGAGCATTTATCAGTGCGATAGATGCTGCTGAGATCCAGTGTTGCTCCCTAACCTTACGGGTTACCGTACTAGCAGATATCACTGCTGTTTCCACAGCTTTTCGGATATCATTCCATGCTGCATCGGGGTGGGCATCACATACATGGCTGCCTAACTGTTTTCCTAGTTGTTCCTGAAATATACTCTTAGCTTGACTATCATTAAGTAGGGTCCTAAGAGGTTTACTTGCAGCGTCTTTCCTACGTCCAGTAAGACGCAGACAGATGCGCGCTCGTACTAGAGCATGATCTGAATCTAAGCATGTGCTCCAGAATGAGCGACAGTCTTCTGTCGAGCCCCTCCATCGGTGGCTGATAGCGATGTGATCTATTTGGGTCCAACGTTGGGACGAATTAAGGGGTCTCCATGTTAAAAGATGTTTTTCCTTATGCTTAAAGTTAGTATTTGCAAGAAAGAGGCGGTTATCTGAGCATAGCTGCAACAGACGGTCCCCATTATCTGTTCTTTGAGCCACGATACTATAAGATCCACCTAGGTGTCTTTCCCTATCGCTTAGTTTACCTACTTGAGCATTAAAGTTACCGGCCACTATCACTACATCCGAGCGCCTAGCTTTTCGGAGAAGGTCGGAAAGCTTTCTGTGAAACTCATCTTTTACATCATCTGAGCTGCAGTCAGTGGGAGAATAGGCAGAGACGACGAAGAGGCAACGACGAGTGTCCCTATTTTTTCGGATCCTTACTGTTCCGTTCAGTCGGACAGCGCACAAACAGCTGTCTACTGGGATCCACTCTAAGAGAGCTAGTTCTGCCCTAGGACTCAATGCTATATCTATGCCGGCGGGGCCACGGGAAGCAGAATCAGGGCTTCCAGATACACGAAGCGTAAATCGAGTCGGTTCTTTATTTTGGCATGGTGAGGTCAAATGAATGACGCTACTCGGATCCTGTATGCGCGTTTTGGAGACGCAGCACACATCGATGGCGCGAGATTCTAAAGTTTTAGCTAAGGAAGCCTGCTGTCCTATTTGGCACAGTGTTCGGACGTTAAGAGCTCCTACATGTAGTTTAGAGCGTGGTTTCGGGAGACCAGGAATAACGTTCCACGTACTCAAATCGTTTGCCCTAGCGGTGCGAGGTGATAAAGAGACGTGAGGAGGGTTAGTCATGGAGATAAGAGAGGTATTAGGAGGTGTAGGAAGGATTTGAATGTGACCAACTTGGTCTCGTGTGCTGTTACGGGTATGAGGGCTGATATCACTACCCGGCTGCCCACACCGTGGAAGGTTATTTCTTGAGGAACCTGAAAAGGAAATTGGATTAGTGTTGATTTTAACGACCTAGGAGCGTGACTGTAGTGCCCAAGGGACAATTGCTTGAGGCCGGTCGCGCACGGCATTTTTGTGGGAGATTTCTGACGTGTTGGCTCCGTTCTTCAAAGGGCCTTACCGCCGGAGACGGAAATCCGTGAGGTAAGGTGAGGTGTGACATTTTTAGGGTCGACCTTTTCTAACCCCACCCCTCCTTGTGGGAAGACAGCATCGCTGTCATGCTGGTTGTCTGAGGGAAACACCTTACTGCTGTCACACCCCTCTACAGTCAGCAGTACGACTTCGCCCTCAGACCTTGAGTTGCTGCTTTTAGTCTTAACGTTCTCCAATCGACCTGCCTGGCATGGTAGAACCTACAGGAACATATGTTCTAGCCAATATAGCTTGGTTGGGTCATCACGATAGGCAAGCCCGGCCACCGCGTCAAGGTAGCAGCTTCGGTCGGGCTTTGATTTGCATAGGATTGATTGTAGTCATTTTGTCGGTTTGTGTGCCATACCTATCCCGAAGGTTTTCAGCCGTCTCGTTGCGGATTCTGATATTCCTTGTATGTACGGTGGAGTGATCCTTTTGTTGATTTTTGCACTTGACTTGGGTTCTGATGCTGCGTGCGGTTGGTGTTTTTGATGAGGTTGATTGGGTAGCCGTTCTTTTGAAATATGTCCTTCATGTATTTCTCTTCATTTTTTCGTGCTGCCAAATCAAACATCATCTACAAAATAAATTGTACCAACTGCGACAAACACTACATCGGACAAAGCGGACGCCCCCTCCACCTACGCCTACATGAACATCAATTAGCAGTCAAACGCCATGATATCTCTTCACTTATATCAATACATGTGGATAACTACGGACACTCATTCGATTGGAAAAATGTGGAAATCTTAGACAAAGGAAACTCCAAAAACACCAGAGAATTTTTAGAAGCCTGGCACTCAGGTCAATCAACAATCAACAAACATATTGAAATCAATCCAATTTATCAACCAATCAGGAAAATCATGCATAAATATAGGAACAAAAATCAAACCAGTGGGAGACACAACCAAAACAAAGAAGTAAACAATGACAAATTTAAGTTCAACAAGAACCAATCAACATCGAGGTGCACAGAACAAGCTGTGAAACACATATGGAGACATTCGAACATTTCACTTCTATCTGAAGTTTGTGCTGATGATGTCGTTCAGAACAACGATGAAAGCTCCACGACCAAACCATCCAGCTCAGAGAACAAAACTCCACCAAAAACTGTTTTTGTAACTTGTACAGCAAAAGGTCGTAGACTGGGTTCAAGTCCCTGTGTGAGTACCAACTCTGGAATGCAGGTACATTTATATGAAGAGTATCAAATAGGATGAAATGCGTTCCTAGATCACACCGGTAACTATATTCTATCTATTCTATATTTCAGTATTAACTCACCCATGCGAAGGAATAATAGTGGCAACTAATTTTTTTGTTTTAACGTGAATTTTTTAAAAATATGAACCGAATAACATGTGATTACATTTTTATTTAACCTCTTTATGAAAACGTGATTTACCATTCGCTAGTTTTCAACTTCTAATCCAATATTTCCTATTTTTTTTCCCAGTTCAGTACGTCGTACTACAATTCATACAGTTAATAATATTCATACAGGCTGGGAAGAACTTCCAGGAAGTTTATGTAGTTGGGAATTATGTCGTTTTCCACCTGTGGCAGTACGTTCAGGTGATCGTATGTCAATTTCTTTGAATACGTTACCACGTTTTGAACATTTAGTGACTACTGGTACACAAACTGAAGAACAATTGGAATTTCCAGAATCTCATAATACATCTTATTCTCCTGTTAAACCTATAAGTACGGAAGAATTATGCTTACAAAATAGTGCGGCACACAGAAAAGTATGTCCTTTCTTTCCAAGAAGTATTATCATCTTCACGTATTAATGTGAATTAGTATCTTACCCTCTCCTTCCACAAATGATTAAACATCAATAGCAACCAAGTCATTTTATCTACATTTAATACTAAATAACCATGCTTCAGCTGTAATTTCTCTATTGTTTTAATGAAAATGAGAAGATTATGGTTTTTGACAAAAAAAAAACACGTATCAATCTATAGTGTATTTGGTAGTCAGGAAAACTAAATGAGAACAGCGACAGTTGGATATTCATTCTGCGACGAAACTACGAACAACAGTTTCGATCACAATATTCTGTATTGTCACAAACTCGAATAATCGTATACAGAGTCTTGGATACACAAATAAGTATTTATATTCATTTGATTTTGGGAAGGGATTTGCGAGATCTAGGAGTAATCAATAAAACTAGGAAGTAAACCTTATCGTCCGGTCACCTATCTTCACATAATTCTCTCAGATTATCCATCACCGGATTTAATCATTTATTTTATTTATTTATTTGATTTAATCAAGAAGTCTCTAATCCATTCTGTTAACATTGTCGGTTTTTTTAAAATAACGACTAATGCCATACTGTAAATCTGTGATTGATTTATAGATGATATCAACAATGTAAATTTAGAAACATTAAACAATACAACAGAGTAAAAAAGAATCCACTGATTTTGCTCACATCATGAAGTGCATATTATTATTTATTTTCACAGTTGAATTCACTAATCGATCTAAGCTAAGCCATCCAGTGCTTCCAGGTTTCTAATGATTGTCGTGCTTAGGTCGACTCATGAATTGAACTTAAAACAATCATGTTCTCACTAGTGACTAGCTTCAAGATAGAACTCCTGGAATTCTACTGAGAAGCCGTGATCAATGGAGTCCGATCCATATCAGGTATGAGACAGTTGTCTACCTCAAACAATGGCTGAAGTTTTGTGCAAGATCATAGATAGATTGAAGTGATCTCGAGATTAAGCATTGGCGCGTGAGACCGAAGGTCCTGTGTTTGAGTCACGCCTATGTGGTCGTGGATGCTCACTGCTAAGGAAGTTCCATGTCATAGCGAAATGTCCGTCCAAGTTTTCAATAGTGGTCTAGATTAAATTGACTCGTGAATTGAACTGTGAAAATTCCACAATCTCGACAAATCCTCATACTGATTTATTTATTATTTAGAGCTAAAAAACATTAATACTGAAACACAAAGCACAGACCAATTGAAATCTTCTCTTAGAAGTTTAATTGTCAGCTATATCCTATCGGTTATGTGAAATGTAACGTTAATTAATTGTGAATAAGTTAGTTTCAGTTTGAATTATTTTTAACGATAACGTTTAAAATCTATGAAGTTGACTAGTATAGGTTGTTTTTTGTTCGTTTGGAATCTAATTCACAATATCATTTCTTTCAAGAATACAATTACATGGTTAAGGTATAATTTTCTGATAACTGCGCTCCAATTATATAAATGAGTTATTGGCACCATACCACATATGATTAGAAGGTTGTTCAGTAGATCTTTAATTTATGAGAATTTGGATGCCGAGTTAATGGTAAACATTAAGGCGGAGAAATTATATTTTTGTAAAAATCTCAGCTATTGAATTTTAAATAGATCCAACGTTTCACTCGGTAATCTGGTTGAAGCTTTTTCAACGAAATATAATGAAACATCAAAATTATCGAATATAAGTAGGTAAATAGTTCTCCAGTTAACTGTATACTAAATAGGACATCTAACAAGGTTGAAAGTAAGAATTTTCTGTAGTGCTTACAAGAGATGTGGTATGTAAAGGAAAGTGTGTTAAGATAACAAATTGTTTGTGTTCGTAAATGAAGTATTTATCAATTTTTTAAAAGGTTCATTAAATGGTATAGATTTCGAATGACTTGATTATTTCCTGGTCTTTTGTAGTCTTCTTTGAATACAAAAAATATACAAAGAAGATTCGATAACAGTTTCCTCAGGAGTTGAACTTCTACCGGGAGGTTCACTTGTTGACTTAGAATATGACGATGACATAGTTCTGTTTGGTGAAGACGCTGACAAAATGCAGAGTCTTCTGACCACTCTAAGCAACAATGCAGGCATGTTCGGGATGCGATTCTCCCCCTCGAAATGCAAAATGTTGCTTCAGGATTGGGTTACATCGATACCCGAACTAATGATAGGGAGTGAAGTAATTGAGCGTGTTGATCACTTCACTTACCTTGGTAGTCTCATCAGCCCTTGTGATATGGTGTGTGACGAAATCTCAGCACGGATGCAGAAGACTCGACTAGCTTTTGCCAACTTGCGTCATTTATGGCGTAGGCGAGATATCCGTCTATCAACCAAAGAACGTGTTTACTGCGCATCAGTTTTTTCCCTCCTACTTTATGGCAGTGAAACATGGCTGGTAAGAGTATAGGATATTCGTAGGTTACTAGTATTCGATCATAGGTGTCCTTAAAACATTGCTCGTTTATCCTGGGACAACCGAGTAAGTAATTTAGTTGTTAGGAAACGGGTACTAGGTAGCCCCCAAATGCCCTGGTATGGCCGAGAGTGGGGTGGGCCCGCCCTCTCGAAATGCTCTCATACGGCCATGCGTATACAGCCTCTGCCAGGTAAGTCCTACTCACTGCCTTCTCGTGGCGAGGGTGTCTTTTACGAAAATGAGAGGACGAAAAGTGAATGTCCGGCGCTTTAAACGGATCCCAAACCAATGGTGCACATGGGCTCTAGTATCTTGCGGGAACAAATGGAGTATGATCCATTCCTTGGTCACCGGTTACCATGGAACTGCATCTTCTCACGATGCTCTAAAGCCTTGTGGGTCAGACCTTTAGGTCAAAGGCTCCGGGTGTGGCTCCCCAAGAAAACTACCTGCTTCGGTCTGGGCACCCGGGCAGTATCACAGCCCACACACAAATATGATGGTGTGACTCATATATATTTGATGCGCTCTTGTACCAATATTTATATGTTCAAATAATATTAATAATAAATATTAAGTAGGGACGGAAAATCAATTGATGAAGTAGCGAAACTTTATCAGTTGAGATGGCTGGGACACGTGTTACGTATGTCTAACCACCGACTGCCTCGACGTGCGATGTTTTATGATGTAGGAGTAGGTTGGAAGAAAGCTAGGGACTGCCAGACTAAAACATGACTCAAATCCACGAATTCAATGACAAGTGAACTGAGCCATGTTGGTAGGTGTAGACTACCTGGTTGGGGTCCGCGAGATGGTAACAACCGATGATTAGAGACCTTGAATAACATGGCTCAAAATCGTTTGCAATGGCGCAAGTGCATCCACTCTTTCTGTTCTCCCGAATTCTAATCTTCTGGATTCTTCATGTCTCTTTTCTCTCTCTTTCCAAATTTATTTCACTGTATTATACTCTTTGAATAACATCTTCAAACCCTAATATTTCTGATTACTGCTCATACTTTTACTACCTCTAAAACTACGGGAATTGAATTGACAATTTTATCTGTGTGCTAATGTGGTATGGCAACTCAAACTGATGTACGTACGTACGAGGTTCTACGTTGTTACTGACTGACTGACGATGTAAGTATTTAATGGTAGATATCTTCCAGAACATTGGTAACATATGTTGGAATTAGTTAGGGAGTATTACAGTCAGTGGCTAGGCGTCAACCACAAGTTAAGAAGTGCAAGTTAATTATTTAAACCTAACAACCTTTTCTAAACTCATTTGTTTAGAACATGTATTATGTATGCCTGATTACGTTATATATATATTGACAGGAGTACGTATTTATAATTATTTAGAAGTAGAGGGATCAAGATGTGTTATTGGTTCATTAGTTTAATAACTCCCTGTTTGCGCCACATCGATAAACTTAGGTTCCTTAGTTGAGGCTTACTAGATGAATTATAAAGTGTTTGTTAGTTCACATCTGATTAATAAGTAGTGATCAATGCCAGTAGTCGGCAGGAAACCCCACCCCCAGTTTCTATGTTATTGTTCAACACTGATCTTCATTATCATAAAAACTCATATTTCAAAGGAACATACAAGTATACTACATTTTGATCTCAATGGAACTAATTGTATTTTCATTTTCTATTTTTTTTTAACTCATTAAAAGAATTCAACTACACATGAGAATGACGACAATATCGTTGATTATCATCATCTTCAAACACTTCAAACACCTACTACTACCACTAGTACTATTGTTAATCAACATTCATCTTCTTCATCATCATCATCGTCACCGCCGTTTACAATCCACAATGATGAAATTAATGAAGATAATATTATTATATCATCAATATTTGCTGAAGATAATTTATTCACTGACTCCGCTTTAATGATGACTTCAAGTTTTCACTCCACAAAAACAACTTTTTCCAATAGTATTAATAATAATAATACTGATATTAGTAATAATAATACATCTTCATTACAAATGCATACACCTTTCATGTCAATGCATAATCAAAGTCGATCAATGTCTTCTAGTAATTTATGTGATTTAACAAATGCTACTGACATTTGTGGTAGTGAAAGTACAGCAACACAATATGATTCAATGATATACGATGATGGTAAATTTTGTACATTTTAATTAAAATTCATATTGTCCAATAGAATATGAATTGTATTGTAATAATATTTAGTTTAATTTGTATACATTGTAATGTATGCATCATAGGTTTGATCTTCATTGCTAGAGTGTTAGTGAAAACTAGTAATTTGTTTTGTCCTTAGTATTTAGAGCTTCTCGGCAATGTCTACTTTACTTACAGCCCCATTAGTAATCGAACCTGAAATTTTCACGTTTTGACCAGTGAGTGGTATTAAATTAACATCCGACTAGTTGACTACTGATTGTTTGATTGTGATCGATCTTTCTTGTACGAATTGATAAATTAGGCTTGTGATTGTAATTGATTGGAATGGTGTGCTTATTGAGCTTTCTTCGACAATTTATCAATTCTATGTTAAAGTAGACAAAATGACTTGGTCTCATCTTGCTTTATTGTTGATGATAGATTGTGGTAGATGATGAGTTGGTCATATTTTATAGTTGATGATTGAAATAATATGGGAAAAAGAATTATCTTTTTTTGAATGACCGATTACTTCATTATATTTCAATCTGTATTGAGGTCTGCTCACTAACGTTTAGAATTGCATTCACTTACTTACTTTTACTTACTTACGCCTGTTACTCCCAATGGAGCATAGGCCGCTGACCAGCATTCTCCAACCTACTCTGTCCTGGGCCTTCTTTTCTAGTTCCATCCAATTCTTGTTCATTTTTCTCATGTCTATTTCCATTTCTCGGCGTAATGTGTTCGTTGGTCTTTCTCTTTTCCTTTGGCCTTGAGGATTCCATGTGAGGACTTGTCTTGTGACACAGTCGGGTGCTTTTCTCAATGTGTGTCCTATCCACTTCTAACGCTTCTTCCTGATTTCTTCCTCCGCTGGGATCTGGTTTGTTCTCTCCCACAGTATGTTGTTGCTAATAGTGTCCGACCAATGGATCCGAAGTATTTTGCGTAGACAATTGTTAATAAACACCTGTATTTTCTGGATGATGGCTTTCGTAGTTCTCCAGGTTTCTGCCCCATACAGTAGAACTGTCTTTACATTTGTATTGAAAATCCTGACCATGATGTTGGTTGACAGACAGTTGCTTTGAGTTCCAGATGTTCCTCAGTTGTAAATATGCTGCTCTTGCTTTGCCGATCCGCGCCTTCACATCTGTATCAGATCCACCCTGTTCATCAATGATGCTGCCCAAATACGTAAAGGTTTTTACATCTTCCAAAGCCTCCCCGTCAATTGTGATTGGATTGGTGCATTCTGTTTTGTATCGGAGAATCCTGCTTTTCCCTTTGTGTATGTTGAGACCTACTTCTGCTGAGGCTGCTGCCACACTGTTCGTCAGAATTGCATTAAAGTCTAGATCATTTCATTTGATCCTCGAATACTGCTTTTCACACTTACATTTATATGGGTAGCTCAGTAGTGTATCACTAAGTTTACCGTAGCTGCTATTTCGATGTGGTGGTCGGGATGGCATATCGTGATGACAGTAAGGCTTAAGTCAGCAACTTTGAGTTCCGAAATTGAAGTCGTGCTTCTGATTGCACAGATGTCTGAGGGTGATTAGGTGTTCTGAAACAGTCGGCATCTCTAGAGACAATGATTTCACATAAGAGAATGAAGAGGTTAGGAAATATCATCTGTGAAAACAATATACCTCACCATGTCTCATGAATGTTTGTCACCACTGGTATGGTCTTAATAGTACGGGGTTAGCGCATCTAGAACTTCTCACAAAAAGACCATATGTAATTGACTTTAAGAAGTTGTTTATAGGACCATGTGGCCATTCTTCCGGATCGTCAAGATCCACTCATAATTCAACTTCTTTTTGAGGTAATCCAAACAGTAGTATCCTTTTACACTATGAGCAACTAGAAATCGACAACTGCTGTAATATCTCTAGTAGCTGTCAAGATTATATCTTCTTACTAATCCTCATACATCTACACATTCAATAAATAGTGTAGTACAATGTCATACATTTAAATCTGTATTTTAGTATGATTTCAATCTTTATGAAAATTCCAGTTACTGTTTAATCTGCTTTTTGGTTTAATCAGAAATAACACTTAAATAGTATATTTGTTAATATTCATCTTCAATTTATTCCTATATTTAATAAGTTAATCTGTTTTGATATTGTTTTGTTTTTCTTTACAATATACATATTCATTCATACAATACAATGATATACAAGATATGAAAACTTCTCGTGATGTTCTCCTTTTAAAATCATCATCATTACCGGAAGTAAAATTACACAAGTTCATTGAACAACAAAATCAAATTACATCATTTACATTATTAGATCATAATTGTTTCAAATGTCGTTTAAAACGTATTCATCAAGAATATTTTCAATTACTTCAAGAAAGTTTAAAATTAATCAATAATAATAATAATAATTGTCATGATCATACTGATCATTATCAATTACAACGAAGTACTTCTGAAATTGTAATTGATAATAATAAATCATCAACAACTGAAATAAAACAATCTAAATCAATTTCATTAGATGCAATACAATTAAAATGTCTTTTCAATGTAAGTTTTAGTTCTATCCTTTCATAAATAAATTTTAGATTTGTTAAAATTGATTGTATATATATATCTACTACTGGACAACTACGTCTTCTATTTTTTTTTTTAGATACTCTACAAAAGTTTAACACTAATCATCTCACAAGGGGATTAAACTCATGAACTTTAGTGTATGTTTTTTGTTGTTGCTGGCTGTAGGGTTCATTAACCACACTTTCAACCTTACTAATTTAGCTTCGGTTAGGATCAGCAGTAATTCTTGGAAATGGTCTAGGTGACGTTTCATGAACTGTAACAGCCGTATAAAAAAATTTACATGTAGATTTAATTAATCGTAGCCAATTATTAGACTTCATACAATCATCGATGTCTTCGGTCAGTCAGTCAGTAACAACTTGGAACTTCGTACGTACGTACATCAGTTTGAGTTGCCATACCACATTAGCACACAGATAAAATTGTCAATTCAATTCCCGTAGTATTAGAGGTAGTAAAAGTATGAGCAGTAATCTGAAAGATTAGGGTTTGAAGATGTTATTCAAAGAGTATAATACAGTGAAATAAATTTGGAAAGAGAAAGAAAAGAGACAAGGAGAATTCAGAAGATTAGAATTTGGGAGAACACAAAGAGTGGTTGCATCTGTGCCATTGCAAACGAATTTGAGCTATGTTATTCAAGGTCTCTAACCATCGGTTGCTATCATCTCGCGGACCCCAACCAGGTAGTCTACACCTACTAACATGGCTCAGTTCACTTGTCAGTGACTTCATGGATTTGAGTCATGTTTTAGTGTGGCAGTCCCTAGCTTTCTTCCAACCTACTCCTACAACATGAAACATCGCACGTCGAGGCAGTTGGCGATTGGGCATACTTAACACATGTCTTACCTGTCTCTTACTATCAACCTGGTTGACTTTACACGTTAAAAATTCTGGCACACAAATAATGTCTAAAATTCCATCTTGAAACTAATCACCTTACTTACGCCTGTTACCCCTCGTAGAGAAGTATGGTCTGCATACCAACATTTTCCATCCAACTGTGTCCTGATCAACCCTTGCCGGTTGTTATTCATCCTTTTGATGTCTGCTTTCACTTCCTAACGTAGTGTGTTCTTTAGCCTTCCTCTTTTCTGTTTCCCTTCAGGATTCCAAGTTAGCACTTGCCTCGTGTTACAGTCTGGTGATTTCCTCAATGTATCCTCAATCTCTCCACTTCCCTCGTCTTTTTCCTAATTTCCTCTTGTTTTTAAAGCTGGTTTATTTTCTTCCACATTAGGTTGTTGCTGATGATATCGGATCAACGAACATCGAGTATCTTATGTAGAAAATTTTTTATAAATGCTTGTATGTTTTTGATGATGATATATATATATATATATATATATATCACAGATTGAAATCATGAGTCAATTGAAAACCTGGAAGCACTGGACGGTCGTTTCGTCCAAGTATGGGACTCCTCAGCAGTGCGTATCCACGATTCCGCACCCCGCGAGATTCGAACCCAGGACCTATCAGGTTTTCCATGGTGGTCTAACTTCAATTGACTCATGATTTCAATCTGTGGAATTTCTAAAATCTCCACAAACCCCTTCTGATATATATATATATATATATATATATATATATATATATATATATATATATATATATATATATATATATAGTGCACATTGAAACAAAAACTCAACACTCTTCAATTGAAATCCTTCCATAATTTATCCATTGAACTTTCGAATCCAGGTAATTATTAACTTGTTCAATGTGTAAGATCATATTTGTAAAGATTTGTATTTTACTGTGATTGAAAATTCACGATCGTTGGACAATATACCAGACATTTATATCTATAATCTTATCAGAAATTGGATTGAAATGTACTGACACCAACATGTCATCGCCTTCATTGCTAATCATCATCCACCCTTACCAATAACAATAACAACAAAAAAACAATTCATGAAATTTGAATAATACAATGAAGAAGATGAAGGTTATTAGAATTATGTGATTTATATGCAGAACGCATTTCAAACAATCTAACCATATACATGTACTTGCTAACACATCTGATAAATGAAAAAAATAAAAGGTCAATTAGACAAATTAAAATGTAAACAGAACCAATGATACACAAGAACACTGTGAGAACCATGATGGCTATCGGGATAGGTTAACAAGTACATATCTGATTAGATTGTTCGAGATGTAATTATATGATATAATTCTGATAATCTTCGTCTTCTTATCGCATTAATCACTAGTAAATATATAATCCAGAATGTAATTCGTTGTGATGCACTTTGTTTAATTCAATACTCTTATGGATTGTTTTGTTTTCTATGTATGTGTTATATCACATGCACAATTCATGTGATAATAAATTTTGTGTGTGATTATTTTCTCTTCACTGTTTAATTTGAATATGCATGTGTTAGTTCTGAAAAATCAACTTGAAATATTCAATGTTTATGAATTTATTTAACATCCTTACTTGAATTCATTCAGTGAAAATGTATTCTAAGTGGTTAAAGACTAGGAAAATGTTAGATTTCATTTGGATCTCTTCTTCAGTCAGTCAGCTACAACGTAGAACCAGGCACATATATGCATCGGTCCAAGTTGCCATACCTCATTAACACAACAAGATGAACACCGGATTCATAAAAAAAGTTAATTCAGAGGTGGTAATATATAAATGAAAGATTGAAATAAGGATATAGTACAGGAAGAAAGAATTAGTTCTCAGAAAGGAAGATATGAAGAGATTTTAATCTCTTAGTTTAAGGGAAGACAGAGAGTGTATACACCAACGCCATTGTGATCGATCCTGAGCCATGTCACCAAGAGTCTCCAATCATTGGTTACGATTGTCACGCGGACCCCAACCAAGTAATCTGCATCTACCCGATCGTTGTTGCAACCGTGATGTGGTGGTCGGACTTGCCTATCGTGATGAAGTAACCGAGCCATACTGGCTGAAACAACCGTTCCTCAAGGTCCTACCATGTCAGACAGGTCGGTTGAAGAGCAGTAAGACTAAATGCAACAAACCCAAGGTCCGAAGGCGAAGTCGTACTGCTGACTGTATAGAGGTGTGACAACAGTAAGGTGTTTCTTTCAGACAACCAGCATGGCAGTGATGCTTTCTTCCCACAAGGAGGGGTGGGGTTAGAAAAGGTCGATCCTAAAAATGCACACCTCGCCTTATCCCACGGATATCCGTCTCAGGCGATAAGGTCTCAAGAAGTACGGAGCTAACACAAAAATTACTCATAAAAAGGTTGTGTGTAACCGGCCTCAAGCAGTTGTCCCTTGGGCACTGCGGTCATGCTCTCAGGTTGTACAGCGTAAAAATGAAACTTTCTATTATTGATTAATCAATAAGTAATGAGACTAATGTTTCATGTACTACTGTGGTGAATGCTACTTATGTCTGTTGACATAAGTAGTATGTAACATTAGTCGGAATTGGAAAACCTGGCAGCCGAAGGTTGAGAAGATCGAGTTGAAAAGAATAAAAGGAAAAATAGGAAGAAATCGTGAACTTGAAGAATCATACAGAATGTGAAGGACAAATGATGGAAATTTGCAAATGAAGTATTCAATTCATTACTTAGTTACACCTGTTACTCCTCGTGGAGAAGCATAGACTGCTCACCAGCACTCTCCTTCCAGCCCTGTCCTGTTCAATCACTTCCAGTTCTTTGCATTTGCTATTCATCCTTCGGATGTTTGCTTCCAATTTCCTACGTAGTGTGTTCTTTGGTCTTCCTGTTTTTCGTTTCCCTTCAGGTTTCCGAAATACCCTGTAATTTTGTATGACAATGAGACTGATTGTCCCCACCTGTGTTCTCATTTATTGCATTACTTTTGATCGATTAAGTAGCGATATGGCTAGCTAGACCTAAGTGATTTAATATCACGTACATTATGATTACTGACGTGTTAGTTTTTTGATGGGATACTCTGCCTTAACCTTTTTTCCAAAGCTAAATTCATGACCTCCCACTGCTCGACAGGTAAACTTCTTATCACTTGACTGTCAGTAATGAAAAAAAATTGATTTTTTCGGTATCTCTATTTTTCTAAAAAAAATTTCGTTTTTTTGTCTTCCCTCATGTCCTCATCTTCATTTGTGATAATAAAAGGTGTTGGAATCATGTTCATTATTATTTTTAAAATCCAAACACATATCATGTCAATCATCTCATCCTGTTTGTACGGAACTAAGCACAACGACATCATCAAATGGTAATGATACTTGTTCAAATGTTTCGCAACCAGATTTATCTACGACATTCAGGCAAGAGACTATTGACAGTTTAATTGACAACGACTCAACAGTAAAAGAAGTGAGTTGTTTATTGTTTTTCTTTTTATTAGATGTATATGAATTAGCTCGACTTATCCACTGATTCAGTGTTATTTTTAATAACACGAAACAGTTTGACGTTTTTTTACCCTTTTATTTTACAACTTGTTTATATCTCCTTTCTGTATTTCAATTTATACAATTGAATATATTCATTTCGTTAGTAATTGTTCTATTATTTATAAAACAAACATGCGATTCTGTATAGATTTCTTGTAGACGCCAAGAACTTATATTACTTACTTGCGCCTGTTACCCCTCGTGGAGGAGAATAGGCATTCTCCATCGAACGATGTCCTAGTCAATCCTTCCCAGTTGTATTACGATGAATGATTGGAAAAATGTTTCAGTTCGCATGCACTTGAAATTGTCTCGTTTCCATTAAGTGACCGTTTATAGAGTTGATTTCCGTAACCTCCACTGTAATTAAGTTTAAGAGTTTTGAAATTGAGTAATATTTTGATTGAATATATTTTTAATGAATCAAAGTATAAAGCTTATTGTTGACTGAATTTTGATCAGTCTTTGTAAAAATAGTATGTACATCATATGTCGATTACCTGGATATATATTCATTTTATCGCATGAGTTTTTAGAATATATGTATTATGGTTAACAGTGATAGTTAGGATTGGCTTTTCATCCTATTTGGAGCTCATTAGGTGGATGTACCTACTGAATTTTGATTTGTAAAGATACCATACCTGTTGTACAACTATTTGGTGGTTTTGATGGACCTTTCTAATGGACGGTATTTTGGTCGAGTCCCGGTTCGAATGTTAACACAGATTCAGATAAATGCATTTGATGGGTCTCAAGTAGGATGAAGTGCATCTTTCATCCCAGTGTTAATCTCAATTCATCTTTTGGTGAATTGTGATATTGTTGTTTGAGGTGATCCTCAATGTTTTCAGTGTTCAATGCATTTGCTTTGTCTTACACTTTCGTCCACTTTTCCGTGTGTTTTGCACATCAGAATGTTACGTTTATTAAAGGCTTTTATTGTGTCTGGAAACATATACAACTGTCTGCTATCAATACATTGATGTAGTGCAGTCGGATTAAAACAAAAGGAAAACAAATTTGTTGAAACTGTTAGGTTTTGAAGCGAAATTTCTCAGATGAAAATTACACTTTAATTTTGCATCACTTGCTCACTAAATTTATAGAAATCAACCCAAACGTTCTGGAAACATTAAGTTAAGTCCTTTCAATAAACGATATTACTAATCAGTTCCATGACAGATAATTCATTTATTTATCTTCTTGTTGCATTTGGATTCACGAGTCGATCTAAGCTAGACCTTTGTTGAAAACTTGGGAGCACTGGACGGCCGTTTCGTTCTAACATGGAACTCCACACTAATGCTCATCCACGACCCCACACGCGTGACTCGAACCCAGGATCTTCGGTTTCGCGCGCAAACGCTTAGCGTCTAGACCATTAATCCGGCATACAACAGTGTTGATGTCTCGCTTCAACTCTGATCGATCTGTAATCTTAAACAACCCTTCATACTCTATCGAAAATAGGGAACTATCTCACACCCGTGAATTCAGCTGTGAAAATAATAGAATCTTCACAAATCTCCATACTGATAATTATGTATTTGTGTTTAAGTTACTTCATTAAGTCGATTCTAGTTAGCTGGGTAGTATTAATTACCAATATACAAATTACTAACAGTTGTCAATCCTTTGAATCATGATGGTGTCTTAACTACAAAAAACTCTATTCTTTTTCATTTTATTCACGGTAACTAACATCTGATTCAAATGGTCATATCACATATGAATTATTAATATATTTTTTAAGTGTTCATCACCACATAAGGGAATTTTCAGTTTATTCTAAGTATTGGACATTCCATCTCTCTCCTTATTTGAACTAGCTCCATTCTTTCTTTGCCTTTTTTTGGTCCAAAATAGAGATTATAGAGGTATATAATTCATCGAATCTATCAAATTCTTCCTTTCCATTAAACGCAACATTATTATTTATTTTGTTAATTGAATTGCTCATGTGTGTGTGATAAAATTAAAATGACGTATTCTATAGTGATTATCATCATATGACATTTCAATCATTGAAATAATCAGAAATGTGATTGAAGTTATATGAAGGAAAAATTAATCTATCAAACACGTGATATCATATAATTTACATCATGAATTGAATTTGTTTAGTCAACCATTGAAAATCTGGAAGGATTGGACAAATATTTCGTTCTAGTGTGGGAATGAACAACAACTTGTGTTCACCACCTCAGCTGAGGTTGAACTCAAGATGTTCAGGCTTCATAACTAGTTCTTTACCTTCAAACCTCTGATTGAAAATCCAGTTATCTTCATTTTTAATTTCGATAAATTCATAATGTTGCACAGTGGTTATCTTTCAATGTCATTGATCAATAACTGACTGCTCCATACCTGATATGATTCAATCCCACTGGTGGTAGTGGTACGGTCTGCCATTTGAACTCTGGGGTGGGATTATCCATCAAAATTAATCATTACTGTGCATATGATTATTATTTTTATAAAGGGTTTGTAGTGGTTATTCAACTTTATAGTTTACGTCACGAACTGACCTTGGTCAGACGGCCATTAAAATCAAAGTGTCAATAGACAGGTATTTCTTCCTAGTATTGCCGCTTCTTGTCGATTCGTTATAAAAACTATGAAATTAAGCAGTTTCCACAAACCCTTTTACGTTAATAAAAATGTAATCTAATTTAAGCATATTTTCTTATAGATTCTTTGTGTGTGGCTAATATTTTATTTGTTTTTTTCGATATATCATTACGTCGTCCAGTGTATTAATTGCATTCAATTGAGTGATAATACAACGAACGATACAGCAGTACCCGATGAATTGGATTTCAGGCAGTCGCTACAATATCTTATGGAAACTTTACAGTTAAACAGTAATAATCCGGTTACCACGGTTTCCATATCTACATCAACATCACCGTTGTCATCACAAGTATTTCCAATCATCACTAGTAATGAGTCGATTTTAACACAGACAGAAGTAATTCCAACCATGGATATGGCTACATCAATAACAGTTCCCAATAATATGTTCACTAAAGGTTCGTTTTCTTTGTATTACCTAACAGCAATTCGATTATTATAAAAGTAATGCTTTGTAGTTTCTACTACACGGTTGAAATTTAATTGTCACATCTTTTCACTGGAACTCCAAGAATTTCCTATCGGAGTTAGTCACTAATGAACACATCATCTCCAATATAATGAAACCCATGAAAAAGACAGAAGTGTAGGAAAAGTTTTAATATTCCGAAAGTCAAGAATTCAAAATCGAAAAATAATAACTTTTTGTATTTTTTAGTAGTAACGAGGCATGATCGTGAGACTCGGAAAAATTAGCAAACTATTAATGTTAACAATTAACTAGAGAGAGTGCGAGAGAGCAAAAAATTACTTACTTACTTACGCCTGTTACTCCTCATGAAGGAGCATAGGCCGCTCACCAGCATACTCCATCCAACCCTGTCCTAGGCTATCCTTTCCAGCTCCTTCCAGTTGTTATTCATCTTTTTCATATCTACCTCTATTTCCCGACGTAATGTCTTCTTTGGCCTTCCTCTTTTCCGCTTCCCTTCAGGATTCCAAGTTAGGGCTTGCCTCGTGGTGCAGTTTGACGATTTGCGTAGTGTATGTCCTATCCATTTCCATCGTCTTTTTCTAATTTTTTCTTCAACTGGAGAGCAACAAATGTCATCTGAAAATATGACATTAGAAAAGATGTACTCGTTTTTATCGTTATACGAATGAAATTAACGTTTATTCATGAAAAATTTAATAACTTGATGTCCATCTAGGATTTTCAGCCTAGATTACTTATTGTTTTACTTATTAGTATATTTCATTATTAAGTTAGTAAGTTATGTTTTTCGGTTAATTTGATGCGATCTGTCCATTTATTTTATTCTTAAATTAAATAAATGAATTTATTTATTGTAAAAGTTGGGATAAATACTTAAACCATGTAATCTATTTCAATCTACTGTTCCTGGTCTTCTCTTTTTAAATGTATGACTCATAGTGACGTATATGAACGTTAATCCATGGTCACTGAGCGCAAGTGCAGTTAGATTCGAACCCATGGTTTTGTCCCTATATGGTGACTAATTTAGCAGGAAATGATGGCTAATAATCTTTTTTCTGATATATATAATAGAACTGTACATTGGTTATAGAGCCTCTTATATAGCAAGTGTTACGATTTTCTTCTTTTTGGCTTAATACTCCACTAATGTTATTATCGTATATGTATGTACATAAACTCGAACCCATCTTGGGAGCAACAGTTTCTTTTAAGACTTCAGGCACGAGTCCCAACTGGCATTGAAACCCAGATTCACTGTTTCCAGTTTAGGATAGAGTCATAAGATTAATCTGAATTCTCTTGTTATGATGTGATATGAAAGCTATCCAGCGTATAAACCTAAAGTTGTTGAAATCAGCTTAACTATACGAATGTTTAGTCTCTACATGTGCGTATTTATATGTATTCTAAAACGTTTTGTATTAACACTTAAACGATTGTAAAATGATTGTGAAGCTTATTAAAAAAAGATCTGGTAATATTAGACGTAGAGTTAAGAGGGTTAAAATTATTTGTTGCAACATGTATGAACTAACTTTAAACTCAACAATGCACTGTCGAGAACGAAGCATTTTGGTTATATTTCCTGTAGTGGAGTTATAGATACATACTGCCAAGGAGTCCCATACTAGGAGGAAATAAGTCTCTAATATTTCCTTGTTTTTACTGGTTGTGTAACTAAGATCAATTCGTGGTGTTCAGCATACTTTATGTTTGCTCGCTTGTGTTTTTATTTTCTGATGCTTTAAATCATTGCATCATCAGTTGTTACTGTTGCGTGCGTTTATGTGTTATCATTTTTCTTTATTACTTCATATACTTTTCGTAGGTTCTGATCTTGAAGGTAGAACATCGCCAATCTGTGTAAGTTTTCCCTTTTTATGGATTTTCGGTTACTGATTTCTCGTCATTTGTCACATATTCGACATTCTTATTGAACTTTTGTGTTCACCATGTTCCAATATATTTTGTGTTAACAATAACTATCGTGAGCTGATTAAGTGTTCCAACTCTACACTACTGGAAACATTTCACTTTCGACCTTTGAGTTGCAGATCCAAAATCACTTTAGTTATAATAGTTAACGCTACTACTACTAAATGACTCTCTAAACTGAAGTAAACTTGATCAAGGTTCGAATCTATGGATAAATGGTTGAATGGTTAAACCCATAGGTCAATGCTTCACTTCTTTGGACAAAATATAGAATAGGAATTTAGAGCAATTAATACCTTTCTTACATTTTTATAGAACAATTCAAAGAAGTTGATCCAAACATTGTGATGTATTTATACTATATATTTCAAAAACTCTGGTCACACATAAACTTGTCAAAGCGTTTGTCCTGATAATCTTTAAGCTATTTTGTGGCCTAGGGTAGTGCGGCAATTTCCTATTCTTTCCATATGAAAGAAATCTGTTTTCTTTCCTTTATTTACAATTATCATTTAATGTCTAATCGGTTTTTTTAAAAATTTAATTGAACTTTATTAATTTTCATATATAATATTTCTTGATTAGGATATGTGTGACCAGATTGTTCGAAATGTATGACGTGAATACATCACATTTTCAGACCAACTTTGTCTTCTCAATGTTCCACCAAGGAGAATAGGAAAAACATAAGCTAAGCATGCTCATAGTCCGTGAGGGAAGTGGTACTGCTGGTCGTGGAAAAGTTTGATGATAGTAGGATATTTTTCCCCTCAAATAACTAGTGCCTGAAACGATGATATCTTCCTAAAACAGAAGGAGATTAGAAAATGTTAACCATGAAAGTACCACACTCCATATTACTCCATAGAGTAAACTTCCGATCATACGAACGACTATTGACCGGTCTGAAACAGTTATTCTCTTAGGTGCTATGCTTTCAATGCTAGGTTGTTTGTACTACAACTAACCCGTTTTCCTTCTCAGTTATCACAAGGAGAAGTATTTTTCTGCTAGGGTTTAAGCAAACATGAAGTTGTAGCCACCTTCACACTTCCAACAGCATTTGAGATCAACATATTCATAATCAAAACTGTTATTAATTGATAACAGAATTCAGATATTCTGTGATGCATCTGACAATATCGATATATTTCTGTTCCCTAAATTCAAACTGTGTAACAGCAAACATTAACATTCAAAAGAGTTCGGACCATCCCGTTGTTTGATATTCAGTACTGACTTTTAATGAATCTTCGCTGCCTTTGATGGAGTTTTTTTCTCTTAGCTGGATGGTTTGGTCGTGGAACTTTCATCGTTGTTCTGAACGACATCATCAACACAAACTTCAGGTAGTAGTGAAGTGTTCGAATTACTCCACATATGGTTCACAGTTTGTCCTGTAGACCTCGACGTTGATTGGTTCTTATTGACCTTAAATTTGTCATTGTTTACTTCTTTATTTTGGTTGTATCTCCAATTGATTTGATTTTTGGTCCTATATTTGTCCATAGTTTTTCTGATTGGTTGATAAATTGGATTGAATACAATGTGTTTGTTGATTACTGATTGACGTGAGTGTTAAGTTTTTAAAAGTTCTCTGGTGCTCTCCCAGTCGAATGTGTGTCCACAGTTGTCCACATGCATTGATATCAGTGAGGATATGTCATGGTGTTTGACCACTAATTGATGTTCGTACAGGCGAAGGCGAAGAGGGCGTCGGCTTTGTCCGATGTAGTGTTTTTCGCAGTTGGAACAATTTATTTTGTAAACGATGTTTGATTTTTCTTCTTTTATAATCTCGTCCTTTGGTTCGCATATGATTGATTAAAGTGATTTTGTTGGTTTGCGTGATATACATATTCCAAAAGACTGAAAGTTTCGTTGTAGTTTCTTATATACCCTTTATAAATGGTGGGATGATCCGTCTGTTGTTTTCCGTACTTGATTTTACTTTTGCTGATGCGTTTGGTTGGTATTTTTTGATGAAAAGTTTATATTTATTTATTTATTTGAACACATAAATATTGGTACAAGAGAGCGCCAATATATATGCGCCACACAAAACAATGGGAATTCGAAGAGAAGTAGAAAGAAAAAAAAAACTAAGGAACGCAAAAGAAAGAGAGAGTAATGACGAAGAGGTACAATCAGAAGAAATCTTTCAGTTAAGGAAGATACAACCACTTTTTATGAAGAAAGTAAAAGAAGGTTACAGCAGGATCGCCACTGGCTTCTATTCTGAGCCATATCTGATAACGTCTCTAGCCAATGTGTAGCACCATCTCTCGGACCCCAGCCAGGGAGTCGTGAAGGACCAACACAAGCCAGTCCTTTGCAGCTTTCTTTCATCCCACGACACCATGTCATGCACTGACCACCTCTCCGCTTCTTCCAAGCAGTCCCAGAGTCGGCAAATAATGCACGACGTGGAATTCTCTGGGACGACATTCGGAGAACATGTCCAAGCCACCGAAGTCGGTGTTTCAAGATGGTGACACCAATTGAGTTATCATCTCTGTGCCCGAACACACGATGCCGAACCTCTGCATTACTGACTTGGTGTTGCCACTGAATGTCAGCAATCCTACAGAGACAGCGATGATCGAACACAGAGAGTCGTCTAACGTCCTCAACTCGGAGAGGCCAGGTTTGACAAGCATAGAGCAAAACTGCTCTCACGGACGCGTTGTAGATCCGAACTTTTACAGCCAGACTAACATCACGAAGGCGCCAAAGGTGGCCCAGATTGGCATAAGCCGCTCTGGCTTTCACTATTCGTGCATTGATCTCATCACTCACACCCCCACCAGCACTTATGCATCTACCCAGATACACGAACTTCTCAACTACGTCTATCTGCTCACCATCCAGGGTGAGTACAGGATTGGAATCCTGCCAGTCTTGTAGAAGTACTTTGCACTTCGAAGGTGCAAAGCACATACCATACCTACGGACATTGATTGCCAACTGATTAAGTGCGGATTGCATGCCTTGGGCATTATCGCACAGTAAGACAATATCGTCCGCATACTCAAGGTCGAGAAGTCTTTCTCCAGGCAACAGATCCACACCACCATTACTTACATTCATCAGAGCTGTTTCCAGAATGTCATCGATGGCAAAGTTGAAGAGGAATGGTGAGATTGGGCAACCCTGCCTAACCCCACTGCTCGAATGGAACAATGGAGAGAGGTGGTTGTATGCCCTCACTCTGCCTGAGGTGTTTTTATACAGGGCTTTTAGGATGTTAATAAACTTCTCAGGCACACCCTTCTTCAATAGACAATCCCAGAGAACAGTCCTATCCAACGAATCGAAGGCAGCCCTGATGTCACGAAACACTACGATTGTTGGCCTTTGAAAAGTATGGCGGTGTTCTAACATTTGGCGGAGGGTGAAGATATGATCAATACATCCTCGACCAGAACGAAACCCAGCCTGCTCCTCGCGAGTCAATCTTTCTCGGGTTTTGAACAACCTACGAAGAATGACGGAAGCCAATAGCTTGGACGCAATCGGAAGTAGACTTATCCCCCGATAGTTGTTACAGGAACGACGTGAACCCTTTTTAAAGATAGGAACAACTATCGACTCATTCCATAACGTTGGTACACTCTCTAGTTCCCAAACCTTTGTAAACAACGTCGTCAGTTCCTTAGTCAGAAAGTCACCACCGTCTTTAAAAAGAGCCGGAGGTAAGTCATCTGGGCCAGGTGGTTTGTAACACTTCAAGAGTTGGAGTTCCTTGCGGACTTCCGCCTCATTTGGTGGATCAGTCGTCACCGGCCATGGAGGGCAGGACAGTCTGACCGATGTTGCCGGAGCAGCAGGCCATTTGAACTGCCCTTCGAAAAATTCTGCCCATCGTCCAAGACGTCGATGGATGTTAGTGATTGGCATCCCATCATCCTCGCAGATTGTTTCACTCACACCAGACTTCTTGCTGCCAGTGGCTCGGATGAGTTGGAAGAGCTTCCGGTAGTTACCAGATGCAGCTGCTGCTTCCAGCTCATTAGCACGCATCGACCACCAGGCTTCTCGGTCCTTACGCAAGCTTTGCCCGATTTCCTTACGTAAAATCCTTCTTTTATGGTCAAACTCACGGTTACCCGGAGTAGACCGACGGGCTTCAATGAGTTGTAAGGAACCTGAAGAAACCCAGTGCTTAAAAGCGGGACGTTTCGCAAACCCACAACTGACTGTTCCCGCCATTTTCATGGCGTCATGCAATTGCAACCAATGCTCATCTATACTTTTCGGTGGAGTGGTAGCTAGCCTAGAAGCTAGCTCGGTTCGATACTTATTTGCAACAGAAGTTGCAACCAGCTTGCTAACATCAATCCGTTGATGGCGTTCACTTCGTTGTCCACTGAAAAGTAAGGCAAGATTGGCGCATACCAAAGCATGGTCAGAGTCCAGATAGGTACTCCAAAAGGAGCGGCAGTCTTGTACACAACCACGCCAGCGGTAGCTGATCGCGATGTGATCAATCTGAGTCCAGGCTTGAGATGCAGAGGGAGGACGCCAGGTGGCACATCGGCGATGACTGTGCCGAAAGTTAGTGCTAGCCAGAAACAGGTTGTGGTCTGTGCAAAGTTGCAGTAGACGGTCCCCGTTATCTGACCTGCGACCAACGAGTCCCCATCGGCCACCTAAACGACTCTCTTCTGTGCCTAGACGCCCGACCTGAGCATTCAAGTCTCCGGCTAGTACTACAATATCTGTCGAACGCACTTTCTGGAGAAGAACTGATAACTGGTGGTAAAACTCATCCTTGATTGCATCCGGGCTGCAATCTGTCGGGGCATAGGCGGAGATGACGAAAAGACATCGTTTCTCACGCCGATTTCTTCTCACTTTGATGGAACTTTCTAATCTAACAGCACATAACCGACTGTTAATGGGGATCCAATCGACTAGTGCTGCCTCAGCTCTAGCGCTTGATGAAAAGGACGACTACCCAATCAAATTCATCAAATTCGAATGCAATTCACATCCTGAATTGATATTCGCTAGCGAATGAGGACTATTGAAGCGACTACTAAGGTCGATGCATCAAACTGCTACTTCCCTGTAATTATGGATTGTTCTCCCCCACACTATCGATTAATAAACACTCGTAATCTTTCCCATTGGATTGACACATAAGAATTTATGGTTTTCCGTCAAGCTCTAAATACTCACCACGAAATTATAAATTACTCAGTGCCATAAAATTGTTGATAGTTGTGCGCACTGATGAAGAGTTATAATTAGGAACAAGGTAACCACCTAGTTCATTTTGATTTCATCGGTGTTCCTCAATGGATGTTAGTTGTTGTTAATATGTAGCATATTAGTAGGGTTCTTTTATCAAGACCTATTTTATACTATTCTTAAAAAAAGATGTTTCGTCATTGGTTCCACTCATTAAAGCGGTTGAACATCATTATCCGTTTATGTTACCCAAGAAATCTAAAAAAATACGTCTTTCCATCATCAATAGATAGTGACATTTTCAGCTAGATGATAGAAAAGTATGCACACTATGTACTTTACTTCATATTCAACTAGGAATTAAGTATATCTCTTAGAAGACAGCACACATTGACAAGTAGGCACATACAATGTGTTATTTAAGACATCAGAAAGCTACAGATTAATTATAAAATGAATTAAACACAACTGATTTTCTACTGCAAAATTGTTTATTTACACTGAATCACGTTTATCTGTTTATATGTCTAAAATATGAGTAGCATATCTAAACCCGTGAATTAGATTCGAATAGGCATGTGTATCAGGAAATATAAACTATGTACTTACAATTCTCTACCAGTAAACAATGAATATAATGAGTGATGGTAGATATTGATAATAATTCACAAATTTGCGGATGAACCTGTGTTTGAAGCTAACGGTGCTGGAATCGAGTTCCGGAGTGTACATCAACTCTGGAATTCAGGTACATCCAACTGATGAGTTCCAAATAGGATGAGACGTGCGTCTTGGATTCCACTGCTAGCCACCGTCCATAGAGATCAATATTTATGAAGTTTTCAAACCAACTGAAAGATTTGCTAGATTCAAAACTAATAGATCAACTTCATAAGTATTCATCTTTATGATCACGAAGCATTCTTTCACTTTATTCTCATTCATTACTACCAACCCTCACCTTTTTTCTTTTATGATTACCTGGATTCAGAGAGATTATCAATGGTGATCTCGATATTAAATAATAGAAATTCTTCATTCATCCACACACACATTCTTATTTATTAGTTTCCTGTCTAGTATTGATTAGTAATAATAGTAGTAAACTGTTTAATTATTATGTTATGTTTTTAATTCTATTGAATAAAAAATCTAGGAAGTTTCAACGGATCTAACTTCTTCATTGATGAGTGCTACTACTACTAATACTACTACTATTAATAATAATTATAATTATCCATTGTCAACTATTTCTCGTTCTACTTCGCCAATATTACAACAACTAAATCACAACAATGAACAGACTTGCAATCTTACAACTGGATCTTCTTGCTTCACTAATATTTCATCAAAATTAACTAATGAACGTTTTACTAGTTTTGTACATGCTAAGTGAGTTGTTTATTTTCCTTTATTATTATTTTCTTTTTTTGGAAAATATTCTGTACTACATATTGATTGAATATGTGACGTTTTTTAATGTTAACAGTATATCATTGTATCCTAGCAGTTCCAATCATTTAGTGGATCAGTGAATAAGCACTAGTTGTGAAAGTGTAGTTTCCACCAAATATTTCATTCTAAACACCCTTCCCTACTCCTTAACTTTTATCGTTTTTGTGCTCTTCATCTGATTTGTTGTTCTGCTCTCTACACTATATATATATTAGTATCAATAACTAAAGACATTAAAATGGTAGTTGTTTCGATCTATATACAATTAATGAAAGAATGAAATCTAGAAATGATGAAAGATCAACAGATCATAGTCAAAGGAAATGAAACTAGTAAAGCGTAAGACCGGTGATTGCAGATTATCGTCATCTTATGGGCGAAAATTCGAAAGATTTTCACCTAAGCCTTAAAATAAGTCACGTTATATGCTAATTCGACTTTTGTTTAGCTGCTCAAACTGCTAATGTGCTAGCCAGCCTCAAGTGTCCATGGAATAAGCGTTGACTGGTGGCTTTTTTTTCGCTGAAGATCTAAAATCTTATCAAACGATTTATTATTTCTATCTAGCACTATCCTCTTACAGTCCATGATGCCTGATTCAGCCACAGATAAACACGCTTCGTATACGCTTATTGAAAGCATCGATGACAGTGAGAGTACAGGGTAATGTTTAGGAGGCTTTAATCAGAAAACTGAATTATAGTTTGTATAAATCATATGTACCTACATACAGTCAGTCAGTCAGTCAGTAACAACGTAGAACTTCGTACGTACGTACATCAGTTCGAGTTGCCACCTACATACAATTGTCCTTCTGATGCAAACACAGATGTGTTAACTGATATCTCAAGTAGGTTCACAATAGAATTCCTCTCATAATGTCTCGTTTATATTCTCTCACCTACCGCCTGACCTTGAGATGGATTGTGAGCGCACGCATTTGATATATCTATATTTAACCAGCCCATTGTCTCCAACTTCACATTTACTGGTCCCACCATACATCATGATTGAGGCTTTAAAACATATTTATTATCAAGTAACTTCAATCTTATATGTTTATTTTAAACCCTTATGCGTTGGTGTTTCGGAACCTTGAATTAATATAACACTCACTGTTGCATGGGTGTACTCACCTTTTGATAGCGTTTCTTTTTTGAATAATTTTTTCTGGTTAGCGTTTTTTTAGCGAGTTAGTTTTCTACGGGATGGGGACGCTAACCCCATGCCCAACCCTCCTCCTTTATCCGGGCTTGGGACCGGCAGTAGCCCCCGGAGGGACTCCAGGCGGAGTTACTCACCTTTTGATAGGAAGATGAAAATCCTACCTATATTGCATGTCATATCCAGACTTTGTTGATTTGCAGAAGTTAGTTCAACTGACGTAATCAGATAAACCGGTGGTTTGGCACATATGTATCAATTGTTTCAACTAACTCAATTATATATACATATATCGTTTTACTTATATCTCATTTTTATTTATTTTCATTTTTTACTCCTTTTTATACATAGCTTTTTGCCAGATGATATTGTAATATTTGTTCCTGTTCCAGGAACTAGACCAAGTATTTCATCATCAACGTTAAACACTTCGCCAACTGCAATCACTACCATCACTTCTGTCACAGCAACAACGACTTCTACTGCAAGCTGTATTCCATCACAAAATTGCCATAATGCTGTAAAAGCAGATGATGGTACTGTTGCTACTACTACTACTAATAGTAGTAGTAATAGTAATAATAATGTTCATGATTCAACAATGATAACTAAATCTGACATTTGGTCAATGAATAGTAAATTCGCTTCGAATCTCTTAGATGCTATTTCACCATCATCTAGTTTATTATCGTCAATGATTGTTCAATCATCGTTACCATTTTCATCAATATTTATGGATTCGTTAACAGGAGGAGGAATTGTATTAGGAAGTTCTGGTACTAGCACTACCGATACTATTGCATCTGTCACTACTACAAACACAAGTGACAGTAATACCTTAATGAATAGTAGTAGTATCTTATCTACGCCTAAAAACATTTGTGCTTTAATCAACAGTAGTAGTGTTGACAGTAATAGTACATTAGCTAATGAATTATGTACAAGCACATTTGGCGGTAATTATGGTACACTTTTACCTTCAACTACTACTCCTACTACTAAATCTGGTTGTAGTAGCACTAGTGTCAATACTACAACAACAACTGAATCATCTTTCACAACGTCCACATCAACTATCACTTATGTTCAATGGCGTATGTTATCCTCGGATGGACATGTTTACTTTTTACATCAAGATGATTTTAAGGCATTGAATATTGACGATCATATTGATTATTGTAAGCCTATGAGCTCTAACGTACAGGAAACAAGTAAGTATATATATATAGATGTATATGGATATCTCGACTACTAACTCTTGACTTTCATTTACTGTAATAGAAAATGTAAATGTTCAATAGTCATATTGAAACTGTTTTACTCACTGTAATTTTCATTATAAACAGTTTTATGAATAAATGCCATCTTCTGACTGATATGTATGGGATTAAAGACCTTTCTTTCCGAATTAATGGTTATTAACACTTTGTAAGTGTTGTTTGATATGTTACCATCCAAAAAGTCAATGGCAATCATAAATTCTAAAGATATCGGTGAAATTTCAGTTTTCTTTTCTCAATTCGACTTACTATTTGACAAACGCTAGAGTAATATTGGTATTGAGCTTTCAGGAACCATGAATGCATAGTTGTTTTCCATTTTCATTGACATTTTAAATAATTAGGTAATTCAACAATTTTGTATACTGATTCTTGATTCCTTTCCATTTGTATGAAGACTGACAGCACCATGCCGTCACTAAAACATTAATTACGTAGGACGGGTTTCGAACTTGGTTTTCGCATATTAGAAAAATCTAGTTCGTGAACTTAGAAGTAACAACTTAATCAGACATTGTTGTCGCTAATCATTAATACTAACCACTCAGGTTATTTTTGAAATGATTCAATGAAATCAAGTCATGATTGTTTTTACTTGCTAGAGATTCGTTGTTGAAACTTTGAAAAAGATTTGATATCGTTTCATTCTGTAACCGTTTATTGTTTTGTTAATCAATGACTATAAATGGATATTGAGCAATAATTCAAACTTATTTAATCAACTGGATACTTAAAACTATTAAGAATTGTTTTCTACTATATAAGCAAGTTATTATGAGTTATCAGTTTAGCACCACTCCTCTTTATATGAGAACTAATACTATACTACTCAAATGTTTAGTGGGGTTTGAAATTACATGTATATACGCCGGTGCTTTTGACTATCCTGACGTTATGTTTTTGTCTAGATATCATTGTTTACTCTAGGTTTTCTTGTTCATCACTCTTGGTCATATTTAAGTTGAATTATATGGGTTTAGATCAGTTTCCGCCTTGTAAATACTGTTTGCTGGACATGGAACTCTATTCATGTAACTGTCGTTTCTTTATGGCAACGTTTATTGTTATGATGTTTTGTGGTGTAGATGATTTAGTCAGTAGACAAGCATCACTTTCATTTTAATCAACAAATATATTCGCTTACATCATAAATACACGTCGACAATAGCTCCTAGGTTCGAATTCATCGGGACACATTAGTTCCCTCAACATTACAGGTATATCTTGCTGGCAAGTGTCAACTAACATGACCTAAGTCCAGAGTTTCCTATTGGTTATCTCCAATTGTCTAACATAGTAAAGCATATCTGGACCATTACTAGCCCTTATCCGTTACAAATTTAAATGCGAGTTTAATGCTCTAATTTTGTCTATTTTTTAGATATTACATGTAGGTTATTTGACAAATGTCCCAGTTGTATTTTCACATTTTTCTCTTGTATTATGTTTTGTGTTAACAGATTCATCTCACCATAGGAATGTGTCGTTTAAAGAAGCGTTTCAGGCACATAATTATTTTGTCGCAGCCAGATACAAAAGTAAAGAACGTTGTTTATCTAAACGAGTAAGTTTATCTATCCGTTTATCCATCCATTGATAGACCTATCTGATGATTGTGTATCCTCATGAGTGTTGTTTTGTTTCTTTTCTTTTTTCTACCAAAATCCAACTTCACCTAAACACAGTGATTGTACTTGTTGGTTGAGTTTATTTTTGACAGACATATATGGTATAAGAGAAAACTGGGAACATATCGATCTGTTGTTTATTGTGCTCTTTATACGTATTTAGTATTTCTTTGATTTCCATTCAATTTAATATCGATTGCAAACAAGACTAATCACAGTACTAACAAATTTTTATATTTGTGATGCCTTTAATTCATTTGATTGTTTTTGAAATTATCAGGATTAATGAAGGTACTATACTGAGCTAAAGCTTAGAATCGTGTTTAAATGCATTGACGTTAATCTGTTTTGGTAGGGATTGGGGCGACTGTCCCACAATAGACATGATTATCAGACTAACTGTTTGACTGGAACTTACGCTACTTCAGATAATCAAACGAAATATACCTGTCTGACGATTCATTTTTAATTCAAGCAAACATAGGTATTGTATCTTCAGCCATTTTTTGTATAGTGGAAGAAAATAGTCGACAGTCTGTAGTATAACTCACATACACTGTACAACATACAGTGAATCGGATAGGTAGGTTTATTCACATTCATCGAAAAAGAGCTGGAGATATGTGATTATTACTCATTTAAGTTGCCTTGTAGTTAGAAATTAATTGATATAAATCCTAGTCAATAATTTTATGGATGTTAGTTCATATTTCGACTCAGTTCAAGTATTCTTTCAACTTTCAATTATCACCCTAATGTCGTTTCGAGTTGTGTTTTGTTTTTGTGTATATCAACATTAGCCCCAATTGGTGACAGTAAACTTGTTTAATCTCCGTTTCGATTACTTAAGACGTCTGTTGCGCTTCTCGGAGGTTACGCTCTCCAGCTGTCTCATCGTTTCACGACTTATCGTCTTCACATTGTTCCGTTTTCTCTTCTATACGGCTATTTTGCATTTCAGGAGCAAACTGGAAGAGGGGCTAAGTTTGATCATTAGAAAAGTGGAAGGTTTACCGTAGTAATCTAATTATGATCATGAGATTGCTTGATAACCATTATTGGGTATTTAAGCTCATCGTTGTGGTATGGACGTCATACGTCATACATCACGTGCATTAGAATGCACACGTTCTAATTAATTTTGTTCATAAACTGTCCTAAATATTTATGTATTTCCTGAAATTATTTTTCACGTTCCACCAACTGATGTAGTTACTTGGTTCGGGTATTTACCGGACTGATCATATGTATGTTAGATTGGTATTGTAGAGAAATAAGTTTTATTTTGCAGAGAATAATTATATCTGTTTTTGTTGTCGAGTTATCAAATATCAGGAATATGATATTTTTATATTGTTCTTATCGTAAGCTTTCATTTTCATTCGTTGAGTTGTTAGATGTTTTACTGTTCCTTAATTATAGTTATTTAATTACGGGCCTATTGTTCAGTTTTGTATCACATATGACTAAGTAATGTACAGTTTGTGGTGGATTGTGGTTATGTAACTGATGTGAGTTTTGGAGTTAGAATAATAGAAACTTAATCGGCTTACTGCTTTCGTGTTGTAATTCATTAGAAGTTTCATTCGTTATCTTTCACGGTTATTTAGTTATTCGTCAAAAAAGTGGAAGGTCATTTATCCAAATAACAAAAGGCGAACTAGTTATGATTGGACTCCGTAATTAAATGACTGGATTGAACTGACAATATGAAAAGATTTGGTTTCATAAATCATGTATGCTTATATGATTTCATTACAATTAATTGATCATTGAATAGAGTGATCAATGTATTTATTTAGTTCTTATGGTGCTAATTGGATTCTATCGATGAAGTTGCAATCTGACCACTGGTCTAAGTGACTCGACATCGTGTGCACAATGTTGAAATGTAATCTGGTGGTTGATGGTAATAGACAGAAAACACTGAATTTTTGTTTCTTGTTATTTGGTACTCATCAGCAAGCTGTAACTGTAGTCTTAAAGTAATTAGTACTTACCCAACTCACTGAGACACAACTCAAACTGAATGATATAATTGAATGCATCAGTGGGCATCAGTCCTCTAAAGATCACAAACCTCAAGTAGCATGAAGCGTAGATTCACCGTTTTCTGTCAACTAACTATCTATAACCACTTAACATTAAATTAATATTCTATTAATTAAATTTTTTCCAACGTTTTTTTTTTGTCCAGGCAAATAATCGATTCAATTTGCCGAAAAACTTTATATTTTATCGTGTTCGTGCTCGTCCTTTGTTGAATAGTAATAGTAGTAGTAATAACTGTGGCGGTGGTATTCCTTCGTCACCTTCTCCAACTGGAAATCTTAATCGTCAGCATCATAATAATGGCAGCAATAAAAGTTCTGTGATTTGCGATTCCCATCCACTTATTTTACCAGATACAGATGTTAATAAAGAGTAAGTTTATAAGTGACATATATATGATTGACGGTGGTGGAGAGTAGAGGCGTTCCAATCCGTTTGAGATTTGTCCTCGAAGAGAATAGGTCGGTGGGTGACGGTGGTAGATAATAATCGAAGTATTGTTGTAATTATTACAAATGTTATTCGCACTTTTATTTTACTCTCCTTTGTTTTTCTCTCGTCATTGTTGTCATTGTTATTATTCTAACCTACTCGCATACCTACCTACCTACCATATCATGCCTTTCATACATTACATATATCACTTCATCAATCATAATAAATTTCCTTCACAATCAAGCAAGATATACCAAGGGTAAAATTAATAGAAAAGTAATACTCTTTAAAATGACACACACACATCTACATCTATCGTAATATTAAGTTACCCCTCGACTAATATTGAATGATGCAACTCATTATACTATCCCATAACCCACAATTATACAGATGTACTTGAACGAAAAATCGTCTAGTTCTCAATAATACATTGAGAGAAAAGAATTGAATGTCATTATTCACATTTCTGTTTCCTTATTCTTCTACTTTGTTTCCCTTTAAACTTTTAGGATAGTTCATTACTACCATTGAACTATGTTGTTGTATATGAAACACTTACCCTTAACTATTCTCTATGATTGTGTGATCTCCTATGTATGCATTAATATTTGTTAAGCGCCTGTGTCTTTCTTTTCCCACTTTCTCCCCTATATTAAACCATATATATAATACATATATATGTATTCCTTGTTTATGTATGAGGTACCCCTTTCCTCCTAGTCATCTGGTTCAAGAGGTTATTTATTCTGTGTTCTTTAAACGTCTAGATGATTTCCATCATAGAACCTACTTCTGTCTGTTGGTTTTCGATTGTTAAATCTAATCACTTGTTTGAAAAGTTTTTTGGCTTTATTACGCACACACCCTTACCATTTATTTACATATAATTTCTATACTGTGTTCTTGTTCTATGTTTGTGTTTCAGATGAACAATTGTGTATAAAGCTATCCAGTTCTCTTAACGACATTAGTATTATTATTGCCACTGTCCATAATAAACAACATTGATCATGTTGATGGTATTCGTGGTGGTATTTCCTTCAGTCTCTTTCTTTCTATCTACATTTAACATCAACTATGGCAAGCAAAAGAAATCCGCATAGATTTTTCTCATCTCTTTCCTAGATTTTCAACTTGACATGTATAAATTATTGATTATTGTTTGTGTTTACTTTAAATACTGTGTAGATTCTTCCTGATATATTTTTCGCTCCTCTCCACTTATTGTCATCACTTCGAAATGGGTATATATGACCTATCCAACTATACCTATACCTATATATATATATATATATATAATTATTTTTTACAGGCTTTTCTTTTTGAAAATTATTTCACATCATTTTCGTCTTGTATTATCTAAGACAAATAAAATCTTATTAAACCTATAAACTAAGCTAATCCTAACTAAATTGTTGAACAGTTACTGTTTTCTTACTAAACACAAACTATATACACTTTTTGTTTGTACTAAAAGAATTGTCATTAATATCATCATCATAATCATCATCATCATCATCATTATCATCATCGTTCTTGTTATTATTGTCAAAACCTTTATGCATATTATGATAACGTACGTACACAATGATAAAGCTTAACCGGTTTATATATACATATATATATATATGGTATTTTCTGTATACAGATTACAATTAATCATCTATCGATATAGTTTGGTTTACTGTTGGATTATGTAAGATGAATATATATATATTTGTATTTGTAATTTACTCTGTACTATATAAAAGACTGATAAAGTTTGCCCATTTTAGATATAACACAGATGTGTATTCATGATCATTTCTGTCATGGTCTATGTTTTGACTTTCTTTTTTCTTTTTTTCTTTTCTTTTTCTTTGCAATTGTTAATCTTCTTTTTTTCTTTTTCCTTTATTCTCTTTCATTTATATTCTTTATATAAACACTGAGATGATATAAAACAATGACAATGAACAATTACACAATTATTCTCATTTCATACAACAATGAAAAACATAACAACCATTATCATTCATACTCAGAAATAATTTCTATTAAATTAAAAGGATTTTCTAGTTAATAACTTATACATATATAGATATTGAAAGTAGAAATAGTTTAGGCTTTTTCTTTTAAAAAAGAGAAAAATACCTGTTACATATATTGAATATTATTGTGAACAGATTGGGTTTTAGTCCAGTTATCATGGAAACAAATTAAGTTTTACGTTTGTTCACTTGATATAACTTGTAACCGGATCAATTGATTAGATTTAATAAACCATTATTTATGCCACTGGTCGAAATCATGAGTCAATTGAAGCTAGACCACCATGGGAAACCTGGAAACATTGGACGGCCGTTTCGTCCTAGTATGGGACTCGTCAGCAGTGCGCGTCTACGATCCCGCCCCCGGCGACATTCGAACCCAGGACCTGTCAGTCTCGTGCCAGGCGCGAATATGGATCCGGTACTTTGAGTCAATCAAATATGTACACGTAATTAGCTAAGAAACGATTTACATTTCTAGGGAATGACATATACACTATTAGTATCAATCTGATTCTTCAATAAAAAACTACCATCTCCATTATAGAACAACTTCATATGAATTTGAAAATGACAGGTTTATTTGTTTAATTGTCTATTATTATGAATCTAATCAATTCTCTGATTTTTCTCGGTAGTATTCTGACTAGCTTGAATTATCCGACTTGTTTCTTTATTGTGTTACCGAAATCATTCAATTTAGATGATAAAACACGTTATAAATGATCTCGTCACAAATATCTAAAATTGTTCTCAGTTCCACTCATGTTGATAGAATTACTTGGTGACTTATGCGACACTCTACCTTCATTAGCAGCATATCAACAGTTCGAAACTCCACTCCACCAATTTTGATTTCGGCAATTAATTAGCTCAAAATAGAGTACATAAATATCTACTTATTAGATGAGTTATCTTCTATTAATATGTAAAGGGTTTAAAGGTCTTTTCAGTTTTTTTCTCCATATCCTTAGGTATATAAATGTTCACTTATATTCCTTGTTTTCTTTCTCATACAGTCATGCAGAAAATTTAAGTGAAATTACTCACAACTTGACCATAGATATAAGTATATATATGTAGTCAAGGTTTATAGGAAAACAGTTACTTTTAAGGCTAATTCTAGTCAGCTGAAAGTACATGTTTTCCAATGTTCCAAATACTTATTATTATGTTATGAATCACACTGGTTTATTTTTGTACAGACATACGTAATTATAAAATTGTTACTAAGGCAACAATCTTTGATACATGTTTTTATCAATTTACAAAACTAAACTGCTCTGATAAAAACAGAAAAAGGTCAAAACGACCATGAGTTTTTCGTCCCTGAAGTGATCACATTCACACACCGCTGAGGAGTCCTATACTAATACAAAACAACTATTTATTGATTCATGGTTTTAAATAATATACACACTTAATCAATCCATGACAAACATGATTTATAAATTAATAACTAAACCGAATGTTTTTGTATAGAATTAAGTCGGTGAGATAGAAACAGAATTGAACGAATCATATAAACAACCTTAAATTCATTTTTTGGATCTGTAGAATGGTTACAATCGATTAGGTGTTCAAGTATAAAACTCCTAACTGCTTTCCTTTCCCCCTTATAGAATCAAGCAGGAATATGTCCCCGTATCTAAGTTAAAAGCGAGCGCTGGCTATGACCAATGTACCTTGCTCCACAAGAGCAGGTGAACTGGTGGAGGCGACCAGACGCGGAAGCTTGTCTTTTATGGACACAGAAATTAAGTTCCTACTCGTGAAGGTTATTAACAGAATTGTTGAAATGTATAAGGACGAAATGAGTGAATCATATCGAAGAGAAAGGAATATATGTATATAAAATTTATCAAATAGATTTTCTAATGGAAATGAATATTGTGTGAGGTCGTAGTCAGAACAGTAGAATTCGAATCTCCATTTTGAAACACTACTCCAGTTCTTTTAAATAGAGTATTAATCATTCCTTAAAATTTAGAATTTGATCCCTTTTGATAAAGTAGTTTTAATAATGTAATTTATTTGCTTTCATACTCTGGAAAGTCCTCATGAATTTACTTAGGAAAGTAAGTTTTAATGCATCTTGTTCCGCGTAAATGGTCAGATTAATAAAGTGATTCCTCTTTCAGTTTGCGTGCCCACTATTGAACACACACGAAGCATTAGTTATAGTTTGATTCTGTTGACAAGTTGTTTGAACTGTTCTTTTTAATTTATAAATTAACATTCAATAAGCGCGTTATCTCCTATTGTCTGAGAATAAGAAGAACAGTTATTGACTTATTATTCTGTTGTGGGATAAATCATATAAGTCTAAATGTGTCAAATAATGTATATATGAGTATAAATTGTTTAACTGAACTTACATTTTAGGTGAAGGTCATCGGCTAACCAACCAATAATTACTTAGCTTTCTGTGTTGACCTTCATATTAAAGCGTACTATTACGTATGCCTGCCAAACTATCATAAAAATCATTCATGCTGTTGTTAATGGTGCCATGATAAAACAAAGTAAGGTATGAGTTTATAAAATAAATATAGCTTAAATGAACTTAAAAGTAATTGCAGAGAATTATTTCTTCCTGTAAATGTTATAAAACGATATATTCCATTAAATAACATCGCTTATATGCCGTATGCATAATTAATGGTATAAGTACCTTCTAAAGGTAATTTTCATCACCGATTCAAAATTAGTAAACCTTAAAAAAAAACGAAGACACAAGACACCTTTTACTTCCTTGCCTGCAATTACTCGTTACTGAGTGCTAACGATTTCATATAGGATTTGACTAATCTTCTTCAGGTCTAACATTGAGTACGGTACTTTGCAATCACAAAGTTAGGGAAAAGTTACTCGAATTCCCGACCTTAATTGATTTGTGATATAATGCTATTAATGTACACTAGTCACGCCTTCTCAGTAGAAATTGATTATTTCTATTTGAAGCTAGTCGCTTATAAAGGTATGATTGTTGTTAGAAGAAAATGTGAAAACTGTTCAACCTATTTGTTCTACAACTGGAGCTATTTAGTCTCATTTCGTTTCAAATTCTTTTTGCCGCACACATTTTCCTACGGTAGGATATCATGAAAAAGGTGTAAAGATAATTGGTTTATGATATAGTGCAGAGGAATGAAAGATAATGTATCTTTATAATCTTTCGACCGCTGTCCTATACTTTCTAGATCAGTATACTTTACTGATGACTGACTGCCTGACTTCACGAAAACTTCTTTTAGTCCTAATATAAATATATAAACATATTAGGAACGAAATTTATACTGCTAATAGCATTGAATAACGGTAGTAGTAAGTCGACTGGTAAAAATCTAACGATGTTAGTTTTTATTTGCTCGGTCATTAATCAATAGTACTGAAAAGTTACAAACAAGGGCGAGGTATCTGGTTAAGAGTTACTTAGTAAAATTGAAAAACCATATAGTAAATCGTTAATTTGCAAATTATCAATGCATCATATCAACCTGAACTGTTTCTGTTGTAAACATCAATCCATTGTTCATGCGTTTCCTTACAAATTGCATTGTGCTGTCGCTCTTCCTTTCTTGATCTTCCCCCATCTTCTGCTGCCAGACATTGCGTTTTGAACTCGCGTGATATACTATTTACATCGATATAAGTAGCACGCACCACACTTTATCTAAAGAAGGAAGCATTCATAAAATAGTTCAGTTTCCTATATGCCAAAGCAGATATAAGCAAATCAATGTTTCAAAGACAAATGATGTAAAATTTATGGTTGAAAGTGCATAGTATGAATAGTCATCAACTTCATGTTTGTATAATCCTTATTGCTTATTAAATCTTAAAAGAATAATTTGCAGCGTAACCACTAGTTTAGACGATTATAAACCTCGTGTGCTATGTTAAGTTCTAAGTTGGTTAGAATTAATCAACAAGGAACGCTCGACCTAGGTTTCGTAGTAGCTAGAACTAATGCGCTAGATAGACACAGTATTGGTCGTTACTCTATGATCTTACTTACACCTGCTACCTCTCGTGGAGGGGCATAGGCCACCCATCAGCATTTACCATCAAACTCTGTCCTGGGAAATCCTCCCCAGTTGCTATTCATCCTTCTCATGTTTGTCCCCAATTCTCGACATATTGTGTTCCATGGTCTCCCTCTTTCCTGTTTCCCTTCAGGATTCCGAATCGGCGCTTAATTCGTGATTCAGTTGGATGATTTGTACACTGTATGCCCTATCCACCCTTATAATCTTTTCCTTATTTCATGTTCATTTAGAAGCTGGTTTGTTTTCTCCCACAGTAGACTGTTGCTGATAGTATGGGGTTAACGGACATTGAGTATCTTGTGTAGACAATTGTTTCTAAATACTTGTACGTTTTTGATGATGGTTATAGTAGTTCTTCGCGTTTCAGCTCTGTACAGTAGGACTGTCTATAGCTCTTCTAGGGCCACTGCCTGTCTCAAGCCCAGATGAATGAGGAGGGTTGGGTGTGGGGTCGGCAACCTTGCTTAAAAAAAAAACGCTAACGAGTTCAGGATTAGATATGTGCATAACTTGACATAACAGTTAAATTGGTCTAATTTTAGTTGATTGGCAGTAGTAGCTCATAAGAACTTCAATGTCATTCATAAGTGAAGTAATAATTTTAAAATTAAAACGATAAAGTAATACATTAAATATTAGTCGATATCTAGAATCTAAGCTTATCTTTCAATATATTTAAACAGTTTAATAAAACGATATTTATACAAACAACTATTTTCAAACTCAAAATGAACAGGTAACTAGATATTCCATTAGAGAAACAATTATATATTTGCAAGATCCCTGTTATATCCGAGTGGAGATTAAATTACAGGTAACTTGCGAGGACTATTCATGGACTAATATCCTATAAATATTTTTATTGTATAACTATTCAACAATTACATTATGTATATTTATATCCCTCTTATGACAAGCTTTATTTTGGCCTATAATTTATTACTGTACGATTTACGGTTCTTAAGTTATGTTCAGTTTATTAACTACTGCCTCCCACATTCACAGCCACTTTTTGGGCTTATTTGTGTACAAATATTATTTCCTATTTTATGGTACGTTGCGGTCTGTATGATTGATATATAAACCAAGTATGCCTGAAATAAACGATCTGCTCTGATTCGGAAGCTGGTATCTTGTTCTGGACTCAAATGGAAGGGCTCGTAGGACATAGGACCAATAAGGACGCTAAACTGCCCACACCGGTTGAACGTCATTGGTTGGCCTAGTGTGAAGATTCGTATAAGTCGTACTCGGATTGGTAGATAAATCGTGTGATAGAAAAGTCAGACATTCAAGGTCATAACAATTGGCGACGGGGTGGAGAAAAGTTTTGAACCCTCAACTTCAAGGTCATAACAATCCCAATAAATGGAAAATTGAATTTCTGATGTTTCGCACCCTAGTACAAGTAGTTTCTTCGGAGCAAGTATATTGGAATAACCGGATCGAATTAACACAAGTCTAATTAATACAAAGGGCCAAATAAATTATTTGGTACCATCAACATACATCTGAACAAGTCATTGTCATGTCATTCCGGACAGGGTGAAACAAACTTGTGTAATTGTATGTTAGTGAATGTTAGATGCATTTGATAAGACATTTTGAACTAAATTACTCGTCCTGGTTAGAGTTCATTATTGAGAAGTACCTACTACGGTGCAATAGCTGATGAATCATTGAGTCATCTCATGCAATAATTGAGATAGATACTCTACCACTGATTTAATGATTAAGCAGGTTCAAAATATGACCCTGAGCTAAATGGTGTTTTACCAAATAATACTGGCCACCTCATCACGTATATAGTTAAATAATGAACAGTAGTCACTACGAAACCTATGCTTAAGTTGCATCACCTATCCGATAACAAATTTAGTCAACAACACTGTCAACTTACATAACATTAGTGACTGGATAAAGTAGACTTGAAACCACCTCACTCAATCAGTCATTCAGACGGATTATCGTTAAAATATTCAGGCCACAAGTAATACGCTTCCATTTTACATTACTGGACTAGTAAGATAATCGTTAAATTAGTGATTATATATAAAAAAATAACAAATATCTCACTCTGATTGATTAGTTTAACAGTCGTTTCACTGGGAACAGTTCGATCTCATGTATTGATTACTTGTTTACGTCAATAAATTATCAGCTTTCTTTGTCTCATTCAGATTTGTTATTCTGACATAAGGATCTATCTTAAACTAAATTGTGGTTTTAATGATAAACAACCAAAATACGAGGCATAATTTCTATATAACAAAAGGAAAAAAAGTAGCACGAAAACCCATCAATCTTAATGTTGATTAGGATAAAATAAAAAAAAGTAAACAATCATTCTTCTTGTGAATGTCACAACAATGTGGGATTTGTTATAGGAATTTGTTCAAACTGTAAAGGATACATACGATAAAATTTCAATGGACATAGACTTATTAACTGATATGTAATTGCTGAGCTTTCATTTCATTAAATCAACATTATTAT